CAATCAAAAAGTGATGACATTTCCAGACAGACACTCAAATTTAAGCTTCCTCTATTTAAATTCAGGACCCTTAAATTTAAATATAGAACCTGTCTAAAATGAATTCTTGTGAGCGTTAATATTGTAACGTTACTTCATCAAAAACATCCCTGAAGTTTTTTTGTTTGTTTGTTTATGTTTAAGTAAACTTTTGTTATCAGTCTGTCTACAACTCAAAAGCTTAAATGCTCTGTTCCACTGTGGTGCATACCTCTGCCACCACTCCAGTGTTAGTATTATTTCACTTACATTAAGTTAATTACAGCACATAATTTATTTCCTTAATATAGACTTATATTCTAATTTGGGTGCACACATTTTACTATAAGTCTGAATTATTTTTACTTACTTATTTTTCTTTTTGTTTTTTTGAGTGTCAGACGGAGGATCCTCGGCAGAGACCCACCATGAATAAATAATGGGGAGCACTGTTTAGTTTTACCAAGTTAATTTGTCTAGTTTGTTTTTAGGTCACTTAAGGTCACTCTATTATATATTATCTATCGATCTATCTATCTATTATCACTTTATTATGATCTGTATTATACTTGTTTGCCTTTTTGTTACTTTGTCTAAGTTAGTAGTTTTAGTTCATTATTTAGTATAATTCCCCACTCTTGTGTTCAGTTTTAGTTGTTCCTCAGATATTTAAACACCCCTGTTCTTTGTCTGGTTGGGTTTGTTTTGTTTTGTTCCATTTCACCCCTCCTTGAACTGTCTCCTTATCGTGGTGGAGGGGTTTGAGTACCCGAATGATCCCGGGAGCTATGTTGTCGGGGGCTTCATGCCCCTGGTAGGGTCACCCAAGGCAAACAGGTCCGGGGTGACGGATCAGACGAAGAACGGTTCAGAAGTCCCATATGATGAGTCACACACAGAGGCCAGTTACGTCGCCCGGACTGGCGTCACCGGGGCCTCACCCTGGAGTCAGGCCTGGGGCGAGCCGCCAGCGAGCGCCTGGTGGCCGGGCCTTCCCCCACGGGGCCCGTCCGGGCTCAGCCCGAAGGGGCGACGTGGGGCCGTCCTCACGTGGGCCCACCACTCGCGGGAGGAGCCATATGGGGCTGGTGCAAAGAGATCTGAACAGCAGTCGATGGCGGGGGCCTCGGCGACCGGATCTCCAGACATGGAGACTAGCTCTGGGGACATGGAATGTCACCTCGCTGGGGGGGAAGGAGCCTGAGCTTGTGCAGGAGGTTAAGCGTTACCGACTAGATATAGTCGGCCTCACCTCCACGCACAGTTTGGGCTCTGGAACCCAACTCCTTTAGAGGGGCTGGACTCTCCATTTCTCTGGCGTTGGCCGCGGCGGCGGGCTGGTGTGGGCCTGCTCATTGCCCCACAGCTCAGTCGCTGTGTGTTGGAGTTCACCCCGGTGAACGAGAGGGTCGCGTCCCTGCGCCTTCGGGTCGGGGACAGGTCTCTCACTGTGGTCGGCCTACGGGCCGAACAGCAGTGCAGAGTACCCGGCCTTCTTGGAGTCCCTGGGAGGGGTACTAGACAGTGCACCGACCGGGGACTCCGTTGTTCTCCTGGGGGACTTCAACGCCCACGTGGGCAACGACAGTGACACTTGGAGAGGGGTGATTGGGAGGAACGGCCTCCCTGATCTGAACCCGAGTGGTGTTTTGTTATTGGACTTCTGTGCTAGTCACAGTTTGTCCATAACGAACACCATGTTCGAGCACAAGGGTGTCCATAAGTGCACGTGGCACCAGGACACCCTAGGCCGGAGGTCGATGATCGACTTTGTAGTCGTGTCATCTGACCTCCGGCTGCGTGTCTTGGACACTTGGGTGAAGAGAGGGTCTGTCAACTAATCACCACCTGGTTGTGAGTTGGGTTCGCTGGCGGAAGTAAGGGATGCCGTCAAGTTGAAGAAGGAGTCCTATCGGGCCTTGCTGGCTCGGGGGGGACTCCTGAAGCAGCTGAATGGTACCGGCGGGCCAAGCATGCTGCAGCCCGTGTGGTCGCGGAGGCAAAAACTCTGAGCTGGGAGGAGTTCAGGGAGGCCATGGAGAAGGACTATCGGACGGCCTCAAAGAGATTCTGGCAAACCGTCCGACGCCTCAGGAGGGGGAAGCAGTTCTTCACCAACACTGTTTACAGTGCGGGGGAGAGCTGCTGACCTCAACTGGGGACGTTGTCCGGCGGTGGAAGGAATACTTTAAGGATCTCCTCAATCCCACCGTCACGTATTCCGAGGAGGAGGCCGAGGCTGGGGACTCGGAGGCGGACTCATCCATCACCCTGGCCGAAGTCACTGAGGTGGTTGGCAAGCTCCTTGGTGGCAAGGCTCCGGGGTTGGATGAGATCCGTCCTGAGTACCTTAAGTCTCTGGATGTTGTGGGGCTGTCTTGGCTGACATGCCTCTTCAACATCGCGTGGCGGTCGGGGACAGTACCCTTGGACTGGCAAACCGGGGTGGTGGTCCCTCTGTATAAGAAGGGGGACCGGAGGGTGTGTTCCAACTATAGGGGGATCTCACTCCTCAGCCTTCCCGGTAAGGTCTATGCCAGGGTACTGGAGAGGAGAATCCGGCCGATAGTCGAACCTCGGATTCAGGAGGAGCAGTGTGGTTTTTGTCCTGGCCGTGGAACACTGGACCAGCTCTACACTCTCCATAGGGTGCTCGAGGGTTCATGGGAGTTTGCCCAACCAGTCCACATGTGTTTTGTGGATCTGGAGAAGGCATTCGACCGTGTCCCTCGTGGTGTCCTGTGGGGGGTGCTCTGGGAGTATGGGGTCCGGGCTCCTTTGCTAAGGGCTGTCCGGTCCCTGTATGACCGGAGCAGGAGCTGTGTTCGCATTGCCGGCAGTAAGTCAGACCTGTTCCCGGTGCATGTTGGACTCCGCCAGGGCTGCCCTTTGTCACCGGTTCTGTTCATTGTTTTTATGGACAGAATTTCTAGGCGCAGTCAGGGGCTGGAGGGGTCCGATTTGGGGACCACAGGATTTCATCTCTGCTGTTTGCAGACGATGTTGTCCTGTTAGCTTCATCGAACCAGGACCTGCAATGTGCACTGGGGCGATTTGCAGCCGAGTGTGAAGCGGCTGGGATGAAGATCAACTCTTCCAAGTCCGAGGCCATGGTTCTCGACCGGAAAAAGGTGGCTTGCCCTCTCCGGGTGGGTGGGGAGTCCCTGCCTCAAGTGGAGGAGTTCAAGTATCTCGGGGTCTTGTTCACGAGTGAGGGAAAGACAGAACGTGAGATTGACAGGCGGATCGGTGCAGCTTTGGCAGTGATGCGGTCGCTGTATCGGACCGTTGTGGTGAAGAGGGAGCTGAGTCGAAAGGCGAAGCTCTCGATTTACCGGTCAGTCTTCGTTCCTACTCTCACCTATGGTCATGAGCTCTGGGTAGTGACCGAAAGGACGAGATCGTGGATACAAGCGCTCGAAATGAGTTTCCTCCGCAGGGTGGCTGGGTGCTTCCTTAGAGATAGGGTGAGGAGCTCAGTCACACAGGAGGAGCTCGGAGTAGAGCCGCTGCTCCTCCACGTCGAGAGGAGCCAGTTGAGGTGGCTTGGGCATCTGTTCCGGATGCCTCCTGGGCGCCTTCCTAGGGAAGTTCTCGGGATGTTCTGGGCATGTCCCACCGGGAGGAGGCCCCGGGGAAGACCCAGGACATGCTGGAGGGACTATGTCTCTCGGCTGGCCTGGGAACGCCTCGGGGTTCCCCCGGAGGAGCTGGAGGACGTGTCTGGGGTGAAGGAAGTCTGGGAGTCCCTGCTTAGGCTGCTGCGCCCACGACCCGGCCCCGGATAAGCGGACAAAAATGGATGGATGGATGGGACAACCCCGTGGATCATGACCAAAAGGGTTTAGTCTGAAGTAAAAAGTATTTATAATGCTTAACTCTTTTAAACAATGACAGAATTCCAAGAAAGAAAAGCAGCATCTGCATTTATAATTTCACTTACAACTTACTGTATATATAAGAGACAGATATAAATTAAAACAAACAAAATTTAATGCCTAAATAGGCAGGATTTGTGGAGTTACACGAGTATGTATGAAACAAAACGCAACTCTGGGTAGACCTATGTTTTTGAGACCAGAAACATTGATCAGAAATTTGCATGATATGGACCATTTAAGCAAAACCTGAGTCAAACCAAGAGGTATTGCAATAGAATAAACCACACATTCCAGCACAACTTCAACTTTCTATTGACATTTTTTCAGATATCATCACCAAAATAGTTAACACAGTTTTGCACTGTGGAATGGCCTTTAATCAGAGAGTAAAAACAAACTTGGCATTACAATCATAGCTGTAGCCTAAGCACATTGAGTTGTGCTGGAAATAAACTATCTTTGGAGCATGTGAAAGTCTGTGAAAGTGTTTATTTTTTCAGTCAAGTTCACGTTGAGTTCTTGGGAATCACGTCTGTTTGTCCCTGGCATTGGGTCAAGACAAGAGGTGTAGAATAGATTTCAGACCGCTGGTAAACACATTTTATACTCAAGGCCGTGGTTTTGTTTGGAATGTGTTTTTTTCTAGTGGCATCCATTTGTTCTCACATGCTAGAAAAATAGTTTTGAGTCGCATTTGTTTGTAGCTATCGAGAAATTTCCCATAAAACCTAACCCCAAATATCTGTCTCTTTTGAGTAACGTAAAACAGAAATTACACCGTGTACTTGGACCCTTGTCTTTTTCACGGTCCCAATCAAGGTTTCCAAATCTTTTCCGTATGGGCTTTGGATTTTCTGTCATTTGAACCTTCTCCATCCCTGCTCCGTCCTTCCCCCAACGACAGTGCGCTCTGGGCTGCTCCGGTGCAGCTGTGGAGGAGCCGATGGGAGGGATGGAGCGCAGGAATTCAGCCCAGCGGAAGTGCACGAACTGAGGTGCCGTGTGGGTACATCTCCACGCTCTCTCCACAAGTTCACTCAAGCCTGGGAGCTCGAGCGTGGATGTGTGACTGAGGAGCACCATCCCAGATACTCCAGAGTGACTTTTGTGTCAACATTTTAACTAATCAGTAGCTATAGTTAACTTTTTTGGTGGAACTCCTGGCTCAATAATTAGCTTTTACGCGCATCAGTGATCACTATAAGGTCACTGCTGACATTCCCGGGTGCAGTTTCACTCGTTGACGTTGCATAGACGTTGCAGGATTTTCCCAGGATTACACGACGAGGTACAGGAGTTTTGTAAGAGAAGGAAAAGTTGCTGACTCAGGAACTTCGCTCGCCCCCTCCGCGCGCAGGACTGGAGCGGTCAAAAGAGACATCCACGAGGTGAGATGAGTGCGCCTTCCCTTGTCACCTGTAGACTATCACATGGTAATAGCTGCTGTAAGATTTGACTGCGCTTTTTTTCTTCTTCTTTTCTTTTAGACTGGCTGCGGTGTTGATTAAGTTTTTAGTCCTTGCGTAAAGCGCTTGGGATGAGTATTTTAATAGGAGTAAACGTGGCAATCTATAAAATGCATGCTACAAAGTGAGTCATCTTGCCTCTAGATGTGTGCCTGTCTGCTCAGTAAAGTCAAACATAAACATAGCAGAGCAGAGGAGAAAATGTTTTGACATTTAAGAAGTACTCCAGGCGTCTGGCAGTAGCAATTTAAGAAATTGGAAAATTATAGGCAGTATGACTAAAATAGTCCTCGTTTTAAGTTCAGAGAAGGACTGTAGGCAGCAGCAGAAGAAACAGAAAGCAAATGATGGACGCAGAATCGGACTAAACTAAATTAATTCTACATAGCAGTCTTAGTTTTTTAATGGAGGGAGGAAATCGTAGATGTGTTGAAATGCTTTGGTCAATAATTTGCATAACTTACTTCTGATTCTTATGTAAGGGGTCAAAATAAGGAAGGCTGTTGACATGGCGCATACACTTCTTACAATACATCGATAAAGTTGGTTTTAAAAAAAAAAAAACTTTTAATTGATCATCTAGTATGTAACTCTCATTGGCTGTTGAGGTGCCTTTTTCAACCATGTGAGACGATCTGGCTTATGAAATACTTTTTTGCACTTTAAACAACCGTAATTGAATAAATGCAACACACACACGCACCATATTACAAGTTTATAAGTGTGGATACTGCACCTTTAAATGTGATGGTGCCTCAAATTGGTTACATAATCTCTCTGGACAGTAGGCCATCCGAGTCATACCAAACACTGGGGATGGTCATTTTCTCCATAACTCTGTGGTTTTAGTTCTGGCAACACATAGTTTCAAGAGATTTAACTCCTCAAAATGAACTGTGAAAAGCAAAATGCTCATTCATCTCATCCAGCCAAGAATGCGTTTTGATGAGAGGTTTGTTCTATCATGTTTGCAGCTGTATTCATTTTGTCTGTTTCTTGGCCCACAATATAAAGTTTAAGTTGCAAAATCTGATATTAAATCACTTGTCATTTCACTTGTGAAGTGCACTGCATTCCTCCTGTGCATTGCTTAATTCTTTATGATGTACAGTTCTATGCGTATGATCTGTGTGGGAAAGTCCTCATATAGGCATAGGATTTTAAAGACTCAATAAATCTTATCCAGCCAGTACAGGATATGACTGCATTTCCTTAGTCCAACATACTCTGTAATACATGCAGGATTTACCCAGGTACTGTTTTGATATTATTTGTAGAATTTGATCCCTTTTTATGGGAGTTCACACTTCACGGGGATGGGTTAAATCCACCTGTCACTTACTCAGGGAGGCTGCAGTCAGAGGAGAAGCTAAAAGTGTCTTTATTTGAATGTGTAAAGCTGGATTATGTAGGAAACCAATGAATATGACAGCATCAAGAATATGGAAGATAGTTACCCTGCGATATAGCTTCTCCACTGTGTGAAAAGTAAAAACATGATCGAATAGAGATAGATGGATAGGTAGACGCTTTATTACTCCTGAGGGAAATTCAACTCTAGCTGCAGCAACATTTACACTGTGCTTCTCAGTCGCCTTTGTGTGTTCAAAGCTTTTATGAGTTGTTCCCTTTGTTGCCTTTATCCTCACCAGCTGTTTTTCTCAGATAATATTTAAATGTGAATGCTTCCTTAATTGATTATTAGTAAGTCTGCACCAGAAATATTTCATTTTTGTTCAGCCGTCAGAAGGCGGTGCACTGGGTGATGAGGCCCGTCCGGGGTCTGGTTTGCTGACTTGTATTATGCAGGAATTGTTGTAGTTGGGTGAGAATCTTTGTTCGGGATTACTCATAAACATCTTTATCTGGTTATTAGATCATGTTCCTCATGTTTCATCTTTACAATTACATGAATGTGGACTTACAAACTCATTACAGAGCCGATAAGCCCTTGTATATAAAGTCTCTCTCTTCCTGTTACACTGGTGTTGGCTGTGATCCAGGCTTGGCGCACTAAAACAAACCATGGGCGCACTCAGCTCCTCTCCTCATGTTGGCACTGGCAGATTTATGGAGCCATAAATACATGTTTGTCTCCGCAGACAGAGGCCTGAGCTGATTTCTAGAGGATGGAGTGTGCTGCTGAGGCGGGAAACCATCCTCAGCTAATTGGCCATAAATCAGCAGCTGCCTACATGGTCGTTTAAGTGAGATTTATTAGCCCATCATAATTTAGTAACTTCTCATTTATCTGAGCTCTGCACTTTTATGCTGTATTTCATTGTCCTGGAAGCTGTAGCTGACCTCCAGCCATCTCCTTCTCATTTTAGATGCTTGAGATGTTTATGTGCAGCAAACTCTTTTCACAAAATGATTTATTGCTCCTTGATCTCCTCTCTCCCATCGCTTTTCTTCAGGCCAAACACTGTTTACTTTGGCACAGGCCACGGATTAAGTTCCCATTTTCAGCGCTCGGGGAGTGACTTTAAGGACGTATAATGACCTTATTTTCCACTTGTACTTCAGTTTATGAGGAGAGTGCACCGTGTTCTTAACAGTTTTATAAATTTGGCATAATAAGTGCAGCAATAGTGTGTTCACAGCATAAGGAGCTGGTTTTATGTTCCAGTTGTAACACAGGTCTACAATTCATACCAGATACATGACAGCATCCTATAGGCCTGTGTCAGTGAGATGGGAGGCAGGTCTATTGTTAAATATAGCATCTATTTTTGCATAGATGATTCACTATATATTGTTCTTCTTGTGTTTCAGTGAGCCACACCATGTTGGGCCCCTTGCTTGTCCTGTCCCTCCTCTCTGTGGTGGCCCCGGGGCCCCCTCCGTCAGGTGGATGTCGGCGCTGCTGTGACCACCTGGAACCACCAGAGGGCACAAGAGACCGCTCAGCGAGGTTCAGTCACATGCCAGAGGTCCGCACCTACATCAATATGACCATTCTCAAAGGTAAAAAAACATCATAATAAAAAAAGTAACAGTGACCATGAAGTGAAGATGAATAGATTAACACATTGTTTTGTGTAGAAGTAAGAATAACCATTGTAGATATGCTGAAATAATGAAATAAGTGTCTGATTTATGACCTTTTGTACTGGATAATATGCTACTTTTGCAGTTTTTTTGCACAAGAATGTAAAAAACATAAACATTTGAATGGGGACTTAAATTTGGGCGGCTAAAACCTCTTAATACTTGTTAATATTCAGCATTCCATACTTTATTTTTAAGTATTTTACCTTAGATTTTATTTAATATATTATTATTTCTAATTTTCTCTCAAAATAATTAAATATAGCATTTGCAAGACAGACATGCCCCAAACTCCAAATCTGAAAGACTATTTTGACCTAATCAATTTTTATTTATTTTTTAATGCATACATACATTTTCTTGTCTACTACCTCCTTGCGCCACTAGATGGAGTCACGAGTAACTTCAGAGTAATACTACTTTGTTTACAGGTGACAAAGGAGACCGTGGGGACAGAGGCACGCCTGGTAAAGTGGGTATGGACGGCCCTCCTGGTGCTCGAGGTCCCATAGGCTCTAAAGGCTCCAAGGGTCAGGCTGGACAACCAGGCGACCCGTGCAAAACCCAGCACTCCGCTTTTTCTGTGGGACGCCGGAAATCCCTCCACAGCCTTGAGACGTACCAGGCGCTGATTTTCGACACCGTTTTTGTCAACATGGACGAGCACTTTAACATGTTTGAGGGAAAGTTTATTTGTCAAATCCCGGGCATCTACTTCTTCAACGTCAACATTCACACGTGGAACTTCAAGGAGACGTACCTGCACATTATGCTGAATGAAACTGAGAAAGCCATCATCTACGCCCAGCCCAGCGACCGGTCCATCATGCAGAGCCAGAGCATCATGTTGGAGCTTGCGCTAAAAGATGAGGTGTGGGTGAGGCTTTACAAGAGAGAGCGGGAGAACGCCATTTACAGTGACGATGTAGATGTTTACATTACTTTCAATGGATACCTGCTCAGGGCCAGTCTTTAGAACTGATAATGCTTTACGTTTGCTTTCCATGGGTTTCAGAATGATAAAAAATGAGGACTGTTTCCAATGCCAATAGCAATTGAAAGTTTAAAGGTGCACTGCTTAACGTTTTATGTAAGGGTCTGCCACCTGATTGTTGGCAAGGAGATATTATTGCATGAAGAACGTTCCAGGATATGGCATTAAACAACCAAATCCAAACATTTTACAAACAAAGCAGTTTCCAAAGAGAAATGAAAATGAAGACAACAAAAAGATAAATTGCAAAAATTTGGTCATACTAGTCCTAAAACAATAAAACCAATAAAAGCAAATAAAAGCAAAAAACATAAAATCCTTAAATAGCAGTAAATAAGTAAAATAAATAAAAGACACAGAGGACCACACAACTCACATGGTGTTAAAAACCAGAGAATAAAAGTGGGTTTTAAGACGAGACTTAAAACACTCCACTCCGGGGGCTGTTTGGTGTGTTCCAGAGTTCAGGGCCAATCACAGAGAAGACTCAGTCCCCCCTGGTTTTAAGTCTCCTTTTTGGCGCCGTGACCTGAAGCTTAACCCTCAACATATCTATCTCGCAGTTATTTATTGTTTTCATTGCTCAAAAATGACTTAAAAAATATGCATTCTTACTGTGAGTTAAAATTTCAGGGCCAAATTTTGTTCTCAGTCCGACCTTGGTGCCACCTGCTTGCTTTCATGGACATAGATGAAGATTTAGTTTTTTTTTTCCATTTAATTTGCAACATACAACATGCACACAGACATTAGACACAATACGGAACAATACAATACAAATGCATACACCGTCACAACAGACAAAGTTTGTGTATGTGCGTGTGAGAGTGTGTATGTATGAGTAAGAGTGTGAGGTTTCAGCATCAGTAAATAAATATAAATGACTAATTGTGTATAGTTATGTAGAGATTCTTAACAGTGTATTGAAGGGATAAGCTCAATGTTGAGAATAATGACAATTGTGGAAATAATAACAGTACATATGCCAGTCTGTGTAGTCACAAGTGGGAAGAGGAGAAGGAGGAGGAACCTAGTTATGTTTGGTAATGAGTTTTTCAGACTGATGTTTAAACTTCCCATTTTTCATGTACCCAAAAAAAAAAAAAAAAAAAACCTTACCTTAAATGACAGTATAAGTTTTTGTTTTGTTTTTTTCAGTGTGCAGTTGTGCTTGCATGCCTAGCTTTGTGAGCTGCATTAAAAACAGTCTGGTGGCATTAAAAACAGTCTGAGCGATAGATAAAGTTAATGTCATACTTTGGAACTTTCTTGGCAAAGCAATGGCATCACTAATGACGCAATCAGGTGGCGGACCCTCTACCAACTAAGTTACACAGTGCACTTTTAAACCAAATTATATCATCTTGGAGAAACGTTTTCAAATTGTCCAAGTAAACGAAAGCTGAAATCCATGTAGGAGGGACAAACTTGTATTTCTGGTGCTACTTTGGTGCTAAAACAGTACTCTAGCCAGTCATATCAGTATTTGATCAGCTAATGGGACTAGATTTAGGTACTTTTGTCCTGCATCTACTCCCATCCATTTTCTACCACTTATTTCAAACTGGGTCGATAAGACAGATGTCAAACAAAGATGACTTCAACTTGAATGGGCTGTATACTACATGGTGCTTAAGCCAGACAAAAACATGTTTATTGTGCTGTACAGTTAGTATAATAGTAATAAAAGTTTTTTTCTTTTCTTTTTCTTCTATTTTTATAATAACAATAGCTATTTTTACATCCAGACATTCAGCTTAAATTGTGAGTGACCAGGCAATGTCATAAAAGTCACATCAGGGTAGTCTACAAAGCTATTCCAGTTTAGTATTTATAGGCGCCTGTATCCTCGTATCTGCGGATATGTCTGAAGTAGCTCGAACGGGGTCAGAAAGAAGTCACCATTTTATCTCTTCAGAGCAAAATATAGTCCCTCTTAAATATTGATTTCACCTGGCCTAAATCTTTCAGCATGGCACTCTCTACTGTACTAGACTCGACTTGTTCACTTGTAAAATGTACTAAAAAGTCCTTTTCAGACTCAGACTTCCCAGTGTTTTCATAACTGGTCTGTTTTCCCTCTGTGGCCACTGTTTTTCCGGATTCTTGTGCTGTTTGAAGAGCTCCCCGCGGAATAGCTCCCTGCACTTCTGTAATGTGTATGTTTTATGTTCTTCCTGTGTTGTTTATACAGACTGCGGAAATATACAACGCCTTTTTATGTAGACAGATGACGGTATTGGTAAAGGCAGCGTGTTTTTTATTAAAATTTGGCACTTATTCACCATATTTTGTTCTGTACTCATGATTCAGTGTCTGCATGACTAGCCAAACTCATTAACTACTACTACTACATCAACTACTTTAAGATTTGTAATAGCACACTTTTAATAGCATTAATAAAGCATGAAGAAAAACTCAATATTCAACAAATGGTTTATTAGGAATGATTCAGGTTTTGTAACTACTTTGCACCCTAACTTTTAACTCTTTACTAGTGGTGAATGAAGTACTCAATGTTGTTACTCAAGTAAAAGTACAAAAACAGGGACAAAAGATTACTCAAGTAGAATGAAAAAATATACTCAAGTAAAACTATTTTTAACTTTTTGTGTTTGGTTTGCTCAAAGTTGAGGCATTAAATAAATGGTTTCAAAAGCGAAGAAAAGTACTTTATACTTTTCAGTCCAGATCTAAAATATAGTAGAGTAGAAAGTACAAATACATGCTCTCAAATGTTGTAAAATAAAAAGTATCCACTGTAAAATTTAAAGCACAGATACCTAAAAATTTTACTTAAGTGTTGTACTTTAACTTTTGTATTTTGTTACATTCCACCACAGCCCTTCACTACACCTGAACCATTCTTAATAAACTATTTGCTAATTATTATTATTATTTATTAAGATTAATTAAGGTGTAATTATTACATAAAACATATAAAGTTATAACCTTCATAAATTACCTTTTGACTATTAAATATCACCCCCAGGCTGAGTTATTAAATGCCAAACTCAGCTCTGTTTAATAGTTTGTTAATTAAATAGAAAATGGTTACTTTCTATTCATCCCCACATTGTTACGCTGGCCCAAAGGGAGTTTCTATTATGTGAATTTTAATTGAATTTTTAATCTATATCAGTATGTCACCCATATATCCCTTTGGCTGCTCTGTAAGACAAAATGTAATATACTTTAACAGGCCTATTTCTGTTGATTCAATGCCATAATGCATGTCTAGTAGCTGCCATCTTCATCAGATAAAATGCAAATGTATGGCTTAGAGAGGAGAAAGGACGAGTACACTGCAGATTTTCTTCCATCATGCCCACAACCTTTATTTCTCCTTGATGCAAAACCACAAAATACAAATATACCAGATGAAAAAGACTGTTCGATAAGTGTAAAGGATATTTTCCAGCTATGACATTGGTCACTTCAGAAATGACAAAACATTCAAATGTGCATTTCATGATTCAGGACATTTTCCCTTTGTCAATAGCAGCAAAATAAAGCAGATATTTTTTTGTCTTGCAATAAATTACTAAGAAACTGTTTATGTGGTTTGAAATATTAGGCAGATATGTGATAAGAACAGACAAAACAAAAAATGAAAATCAGAAATGAAAAACAAATGCAGATGAGGTGCAAATGAAAAAGATTCTGCATTCATCTTTTGGGATCATTACATTTAAATGGCGTAAATTTGTCACGCTTTACACAAAATTAACAAAAGGCATAGAGACGACAGTGTTACCAGGAGAACAGGTGGGCCATGGTACAAGGCGTCTGACATCAGATACAGTACATGTCCAACAACAATAAACACTACAAAACTAAAGGAAATGTTCTTCTATTTTTGTAACCACAAGGCCCATGGATCAAACACCTCCTGTGGTTGATACAGTAGTCACTGTACAGAGTAAAAACAAAGTCCTCCTACAAAAATACTTTATCCTATGTAAACTTTTGCATCCAAAGGCACTTCCTTTATCTGTCCATTGTCTGACCGTACGGCCCACTGCAAACCTGTGTGATATGAGACTTTTCATGAAACAGAGGCAAGTTTTCTATCAACATCAACTTTAACTGTTCCTTTATGTTTTAAGTGCTAGTTTAAATCTATTCTATTGGAGTGATTACATTACAACACAGTAGCATTGCACATACTCGAAAACACTTTTTTCAGTAAAAATACACCCTTTTTATGTAAAATTGATGATAAAAAAACACTGTTGCAGTCTCCAGTGGTACCCTTTACTGTTAAAAGATGTATTCTATGAAAAAAACAACAACTGAATATGTTCCTTTAGTCTGTGGGGATTTGCTGTGGTTTTCCAGCTGAGATAAACCCAAGAAAAATGTAAAAACTCAGTTTTACACATTGAAAACAAGCTCAGACAAATCCAGCGGCAGCAGTCTTTGCTGGAGCTACTAAAAGATGACGCTACAATGTGGCATTCATGTCATGCTCTGAAATGTTCCCATTAAAGCAAGCTGTAAAAACTACACTAGTCATAGTATCTCCTCTTCATGCACAAACCACATGTATTGGGCTCAATACATCACCAGGTTTGTTGTGGTAAAACATGTTCTGATACAGTTCACTGTAAAAAGTAAAAATACCAGAGACCCTTTTGTGCTCAGGGTAATCATTGCACATGTGAAATAAATAAGATGTTTTAGTGCAACTACAGTTCCCACTGTTAGAACAGCATCATGTATGAACAGTTCAGCAGCTGGAGCTATGTGTCATGTGTTTTATCCTTCATACTGTTACAGTCAGACTCCATGTGATATTTAAAGGGACAGGCACGACATTAGCGCCTGAGGCAGGACACTCACCTCCTGCTCTCTTCACTTACACATAACCAGCTGTTTTAAATTTACTGTCATGATTCAGTTTGGCACAAAGTGCTCGGTTTTCTGATACAGATTTGACCTTGTTTCTGTCTCATAGTTGCTTTATGAGAGTTATGAGTGTTAAAAAGAATAGCTGACAAGTTGATGATTAGACTGGCAGAATAGACCCTTTTCAATAGTTGTAAATCAAAAATACTGAATGTACATTGGCAGCCAATGAACATTTCATCTGTTTTTGATTACATTTTGTGCTACATCAGCTAAATGCTACAAGGAAATGAAATGTTTTGTAGACTAAAATTAAATTTCATCAGATCTTTCTCTGTGTATTCCAACTAAATTTCTGTTCAAAATGTTTCAAGATATAATGTATGTAAATGTGGTAATACTGTTGCAAATACTGTTTTCTGCTGTTCACTAAAAGTTTCAAGATTGGAAATAAGGTTTCAGAAATGATTCTTTGCTATGCTCATAAAGTTATTGTGGAGTTATGTTTTACAACAAATACAGCTTAAGTGTTTTGAAATGAATATGGAAGTTAAATCACACTGTGTTCTAACTTTTAAATACAAAACTTTGCGTTGTAAGTGGTTCAGAATTAAAGTGTGTGTCCTTAAATGACCCCAGCTAAGTAACATTGTTTTGTTGAAGTGTCACTGTTGCAGAAAATATAAAATACTTAATTTTTAATTTTATCCGAGCAGTAAACGTTGCAGAATCACTCATTGAGTATCGAATCCGGTCGGTCATAGCCAAAAAGCCTGAAATCAGGTTCATAAAGCTTGTACAGTTTCCTTCGGGCCTCTAGGGGCACTGTGCGGAACCAGTCTGTCTCCCAGCTGCTGTTAGTAACGTTTCGAGGTGTAATGGGAAACTCCACGACATTGTCCACTTTGAGCAGCCTCAGGAGGTGCTCGGCATCCTCCTCGGCCGTCTCCAAGTGTCCCACAAAGTCATACTGGATCTGGCATGGGTGGCACAGCCGGTACACCTGTCTCCAGTGCTCATTAAAGGGCTGGTCCTTTTCTGTCTGAGGGTCCAGCAGGTAGTGCACAAAGTGCGCGAAGGAGGGATGGATGCCCTGAGAGAAGGCCTCGTCAGCGTGTGCAGGGGGGGTGGGCTGGTTAGCAAAGCGCCGTAGTATGACTTGTCCGAAACGCTGGTAAAACTGCTCATTGCTAAGCTCAAATTTATTCCTGTAAGCTGAGATGAGGCGCACAAAAGGGTCCCGCACAAAGAGGAACTTGGTGTACTTTTTAAGCTTCACCTGAGAAGGAAAATAAACGTGAGGCACAAAAGCATAGCATTAAACGGGCAATTGATCCAAATTATAGTCTACTAAGGGCAATCATTGCACAGCGCTTTTCCCATAATAGCACCCTGATATCATAAATTAACATTAGCAGAAGACTTGTGCCAAGGTAGTAATTACAGGGAAGGACTTTTATAGCTGTCGACTTTGGAAACAAACTGTATGTGTGGAATATTCTACAGAGTTACAGAGCAGTTTAGAAACAACCTCCATCTTGGCTGTTACTGTGTACTTCAAATATTATGACCAAGAATCAGCTGTCTTGGATAGTGTCAGGCAGTTGTTTTTACATAATTCTTAGGGAACGATGTGTCTAAGTACAAATCTGGTGCTCCTGCCAACAGCTTCTCTATTAGTTATTCCCCAAAATGCTTTGCAATCTGCACTGTTAATGTCTTTCAATCTCATTTTTTCCCAATTATCTGCAGTAATGTTACACTGCATAATGTAAAGAGCACTTTATCTTAACCAGAAAACATTAAAGTACAGACCCTTTAATATATTCTAAGTGTGTTAATCAACTAAAAGGTTAAATTTGGTTTAAACATTTCAGAAAAAAACATTCTGTTACCCAGGTAGATATAAGAAAGGTTATTTCATTCGTGCATACAGTTAGGACATTATATCCAGTTCGCCTCCATCTTTCAGAATCTTTTTTGTTAAAGTTACAGTAAGACCTGCTTCAAAAAAGTAATTGGATTTCGTTGTTGTAAAATAGCTACAACAAATGTTATTGGGTTCTTTTTTCAGACCAAGAGTTTGTTTTCATACCTGACAGCAGAGGTGGAGACTTGCAAGTCGTGACTTGGATTCGAGTCAGACTTGAGTCACTATTTTTAGAACCTGAGACTTGACTTGATCAAATGGACTAAGATTTAGGACTGATTTGGGATTGAAGGTCAGTGACTTGAGACTTGACTCGGACTTGAGGCCTGTGACTTGAGAAGACTTGAGGAGCACTTTTAAATCTGAATTCTTTCAGACTGTAATGATTCACTCTACGATCTCATCAAGACATTTAAAAAGGAAAAATGCATTTTTACAACTTACATACTCTATAAATTCTCATATATAAATATACTATGACTTTTTTAATACAATTTAGTTTAAAATTCATATATGATGCAAAAATCAAAGCTATATTTGGTACTTTGGTTTAAAGACTTGAAGTTCAAAGCAAATGACTCGAGACTCGACTTGGACTTGCCTGTTTTTGACTTGGTACTTCACTCGGACTTGAGGTCAAAGACTTGAGACTTACTTGAGACTAGCAAAACGATGACTTGGTCTCACCTCTGCCTGACAGTTTCGACAGTTTCCGCTTACTAGCGGTCTTCCTCAGAGTGGTCACCTGATGTTGCTGTGACGAGTTTGGTCAGCTGAGTTAAACAGGTTTTAGCGCTGTCTTTCGTGCTGTCTTTCTATCGAAGGAGACAGAATGAAAGCGCCATCTGCAGTCCGACTTCCTCAGGGCAGTATCCCAGGTGTGTGAGAGTAAAGAAGCCCCCTCTTACCGGTTTATAGTCCCTCCAAAACCTGTTTAAATTAGCTGACTGGACACGTCACAACAACATAATGTGACACTCTGAGGAAGACCGCTAGTGAGCAGCTGAAAGTGTCAGCTATAAAAACAAACTATTGGTCTGAAAAAAGAACCTAATAAAATTAATTATCTGAAGACCAAATGAACCTCCCTGGACATAATAATAAATTGGCCATCACATCTTCATGTCAAAAAATAATATTACAAAACCAAACCAAAAGAAAAATGTGTATACAAATTTTAATTACCACTGTAAATGTTAGAGAATAAGTTATTGAGCTACACACAGGTCAAATTGTACCAGCTATGACACTTAATCGAAGATGTCTCAGACAGTGTCAGTATGTTCTTAAATGTGATGCACTGCCCTGTCAGATGGAAGCATCAGCAGGGCTTGGATAGACAATATGTGTGACAAAGCTGGGTAAAATGCCATACTTAATCTGCACAGTCTGCAATCTGTTAATCTGAAGCGGATAAATACATACAAAAGTCTCTCAGTCATATTCTACCCATACATCCCATCTATATGAAGCTGTACAATCTGAAAACAAACCTTTGCACACAGATATTGCAACAGTATCAATATCACAAAACTGGCTAACACAATTATCAATACTGCAAAAAATTATAATATATTATAGGGATGTAACAATAACCAAAATATTGTGATATCGTATTGTCAAAGTTCTCACAATAATATCGTGGACCATCACAATATCGAATTATAAGTCTCTGCTTAAATGAAGAGTTATGATGCAGATATAGTCAAAAAAAGACAGAGGGAATAACATAGACCATGATCTTTTGCTCCATTTCAGTGCAGACTACATGAGGAAATCACAGTTCTAAGCACTTTTAAGTCTTAGTTCTTTGGATTAAGTCTTGTCGAGGCATTTTAAGAGGAAAAAGTTGCATATTAACAGTTTTAGCTGTTTAGCCTCCACAAAATATCGCAATAAATATCATACCATGAGATGTATATAGTGAAAATATTGTATCTAGAGATTTGGATATCGTTACATCCCTAATCGTGAGCCTCCTCACCATATCGTGAGCTTTCCCAAGATATTGCAATAAATGTCGTACTGCGAGGTTCATACCGTGACAATATCGTATCGTGAGACTTGGATATAGTTACACCCCTAATATATTGCCATAACATGAAGGTTCTCCATCTGACATCTTATATTTATTGTTTTCATTGTCTTAAATAAAGATTGATTTAGTCTTGGTTTTGTCTAAGTTTTTACTTCTAACTGATCTGACTGGTGAAATAAGGTGAAGTTTGAAAATAACTATAAATTATTGTGTAAAAAATATAGCAATCATATCGATATCGCAGCCATATCACGGTGTTTTCCAATGCACCCACCTTCATGAGATGCTTTGCGAATTTGCCGTATCGTTTCCAGAAGCGGTTGAAGGTGAAGTGCATGCTGCTGTTGTGCACCAGCTCCCCGGGGACGGCCTGGGGGTCTCTCTGCGGGACCCCATCATGGAGCAGACTCTCACTCAACACGATCATGATGCGCTTCCAGTTACTGCACGCTACCTGCGGCCAGCACAGAGGCAACACACCACAACATTGTCATTTCATGCTACAGTACACACATCCCTACCGCCGGATTTCAGATGGCAGCACAACATTCTGCAGGTCAATAATATTTCATACCGATGGGGGAAGGTGAAATTAATAGTTTTCAAATTCAGATTTTTCTAATACTGTGAGTTCTAGGGTCTAGCCACTGATAAATGATCTGGTTCAACATTTGTACATTTGCTTTTGAATATTTCATAGCAGAGCACAATGTAATCAATAAGAAAATATGCCCATCACATTCTAGACTCTAAAAGGACCAATAAATTATGCTGTAATTTCTCTCTCTTTTCAAGAAATGTCCAAATTTATGATCCACAAATGTTGAACCTCATCATTATTTGATTGGGGTTGGCTCAACAGACTTCTGATATTAATTTTATGCTTTAAGGTCATTTAACTCATCAATCATGTCTTTTGTGAAGCTACTGTGAAAACAAATCACTTTCGCTTTTTTGCCGTTGACAAAGAAAGACGCTGAATTTGTGCCAGTTTTTGTTTTATGTGGATAAGCCCCTTAATTATAGAGATATTAACCACAAACCAGACCAACGACTCTGCAATCTCACAGTTTAACAGCAAATTCCAGCACAGAAGTCTTGACATGCCGCCTCAACTTTAAACTACAGGAATGTTGTGATGAACACTAAAGCTCAACCTATGAAAGTTTCAAAACAAAAAACGTTAGAAAGAATAGTCCATCAGTGGAATACCTTGGGAACATAGCAGTAGATAATGCCGTGCCTGTCATCAACAATAAGATGATTGAGTTCTTGGTTTGGAATGTCGTCAAAGGAGCGGTTTTTGCCCGGAAATGTCAGGCTGTCGTTGGAGCAGAATTCTTGAAGCATCCTGCGCCTCTGTTCCTGTGAACGTGAGATATAAAAAGGCACGATAACAGGATTTATGGTTGACTTATTTCTCTAATCCCTGAAAAGTAGCTCATAATTCAAAGCAGCCTTATGGGGGAGTGTGTTGTATCTGCGCATATTTATATTCGTCAGGAAATATTTGCTGTGTTGTTTTAATTCCTTTATTTTCTTCTGTTTAGTCATGGGGAAAATCTTCATAATTGTGAATGTTCAGCAGTTACCATGGAGACACAACACACACTTTAGCAAACTATGACAAATATGTTTTAAGATCATCTGAAAATTCAAGGAAAAAAAAAAGTCTGTGATCAATATGAGCATTCGTGGTTCTGTTTAGGTGTTAAATTTTCATCAAAAAGGTGAGAGTGACTAACTGAAAAGCTCTTGGCTAATTTCTAAGTTCTTTCTGGTCAGATTGTGTTAAAATAGAACTCAGTAGTCTAACAAGCTCCAGATAGAAAAGTTACTCCCAGGGAATGTTGATGACATCAGCTGCAAAGTTGGAATCAGGAGAAGTACATCTGTTGCACAATTGGCAATAATAGTATTCAGTGTTTGTTTTATTTGGGATAGCTCTTATCCTGTTCAGATTCAGAAGTCTTTTCTAATAAATAGATCGAACAAATGAATTAAAAAAATGTTAACTATTTTCTCTTTAGGCAATCAAAAGCTCATTTGTCCTGAATCATCCCGTGCCACTGTACCAAGACACAAGGTTGTAATGTAGAGCTTAGGGATGTAACGATATCCAAATCTCTCGGCACAATATTTACTGCGATATTTTGAAGAAGCTAATATAATTGTAGATGGGACACTGTTTTGCTTTTAAAATACTTTGACAAGATTTTGGTGTGAATTATTACTGTCATAATCCCAAGATTTCAAGTAAAAAACATATTTCTTTATGTTGTCCGGAGTGAAATGAATCATGGGATATGTAGTTCCCGATGTTTATAAGCTGCTGCTACTATAAAACCATGCATTTTAGCAAAGGAACTTGTAATTCGATATATTTTGACAAGCCCATAATATTACTGTGAGACTTTTGACAATATGATATCACAGAATTTCGATTATTGTCATCGCTAGTAGAGCTACACATATCTGTAAAAATGTTGGTGTAAATCAATTTGATTAGGGAACATTTTCAGTATTTCCAAACCAACAGTGAATTGAATATCAGTGGGGTTCTATATAATTAGGGGTGTGCAAAAATATAAAAATATCAATATATCTTATCGTTTAATGTGACGATACAGTATCGATGTTGTGGGCTGCTGTATCAGTATATCGCCAAGACTATTTTTTGGCTTTTTTTACTTAATTACAGCACTGTAGTTTTGTTGTTTGTTTAGAGGAAGGAAACTCGTTCATGCAACACATTTGACATTTTCACTGTTTTGATGATTAACATGGGTGTGTTTCATGTAAACTTTGAACAAGAAGTGGTTTAACAAAGAATTTTAGTATCACAGATGGGATTTAGCCTTTATTTTTTATTGAACTGTATCGAATCAATTTGAAATATATTGTATCGAATCAAAAGTGCACTATATCGAGACGCATCTTATCGTGGACTATGTATCGAGGTATGTATCATATCGGCAACTTCTTAATGATACCCAGCCCTAAAAGGCATTATGTTAATGTATAAAAATATTTTGAAAAGTGACAAAAAATGGCAACTAGATTTTTCAAAGTACAACTGGTCACATTGTCTCACCTGTCTCTCCCGGAGCTCAGGTGCTATTGGGGTCAAGTGGACCTTCCACTCTTGTCGCGGTATGTAACGCTCCTCGGCTTTCTCTGATTGGTTACCCGTATCAGCAGGGGCAGGGTCCGTGGGCTCATCACTTCCTGGTTCCAAAAACTGGTTGACAAAGGCATCGATGTCTGAGAGAAAAGAGGGCATCTGAGAAGTTTTGGGCTTCTGTTGTGGAGGCGGCACGGAGGTCTTGGGCCCAGGCGAGACGTGAGTGTGCAAATACAGATAAGACGCTCCAACATCGTCCCAGTAGATAATGATGAAGAGGATCATGAAGAGCGAGCCCAAGACAACAAACACACGCAGCATCTTGGATGTTCCCATGGCGACTAACAGATGTGCGAGCTACAGGGTCACCATAGCAACACAATTGTCTTGGTGGGGCATCTCTACGGCGTCGCCATGGCAGCAGATTGGGACCTGTTACCCGGCCAGGCTTTATGTGAACAATGGGATTAAAGGGTGTTCGTGCTACGCAGTCACCATGACAACAAAGTCAAGGTTTGGTACTGCCTGTCACCATAGCGACACAAAGATGCTAGGTGGAGGTTGAGGCAGGTTGTCATGATGTTGGTGCAGTGCCATCCATAGATTCAGCGCTCACTGCTGCAGCCCCTGTGCAACACACACATATTCTTATTGACTTTGGCACATCAACTGCACTGTAACAACAAATAGATCAAATAATACACTGTAGAGTATAAAAAACGCGGTCTTATTAGCTAAAATTCAGGAAAAAATTTTAGGCTTACAAAGCAGCATAATGGAAACAGGACAATTTACATCTGCAGTGTGACACATAGACCTATACATTCATCAAGTTTTACATTTTACACAGTTAGACTGATTAAAAATGATCCATCTGCCTTATACTCATTATGCTACTTTACTCATTCTACATAATAGGCCGACAGTAAGTGCATAAAATAAAATAATAAGGCCAGTGATAGTACTTTATATTTAGAACTTGAATAATTGCTCTATAAAATATTCTCAAATTACAGTGTTGCAGATGTCAACTCAATGCAACACACTTGTCCAAGCCCTTCCAAGTGTCAACATTACACACAGTTGTCAAATGCCTCCAGTCAGTATAGGCTTTGCGAGGTATGTGCGAACCCCAAGTGCACTGCAGAAATATCCAACTCTATCCATAACAGGCTCACACTGTGTATTCTGGTACACCGGCTGCATTTTAATATAGAGCCTAAGCAGCCAATAGCTTTATAGTAGAGCCGTTGTCTTATTCCGGCACAATCTCACATTTCCTCTTCAGTGGAGTATGACTTTCCAGTCCAGCACGTTTCTAAATCTGGTGACTGCCATACAGCAGCTCACACTGTTTCCTTTTCCTAAAGCTAAGATGCTAACATCTGCCACTTTGGCTGGGTGAAATGAACCAGTATAGAGACTCAAATGAACCCAGAACATGTTCATTTTAAAAATTCACTTTAGTGATTGTGACATTAATTATAAAAGGAGCTTATAACACAACAATACACACATGCAAAGGAGAGTTCTTGCCTCAATGTAATTTGTTAGGAGTATTATAGTTTTTTTTATGTTTTGCATGTAATAACACTATATTACCATAGTTATGTCTATATGGGGTCTAATTATTGCCGTTTATTACTATAAAGCATGACTGGACAGTAAAAATGTGATTAGCCTTGTGCTCCTTGATGTTTCTGTTTCAGGCTGTAGACAGGTTTGTGTGGACACGTGAGTCCCCCAAACTCTGCCACACACTGTATGTTAATCTAAAGCCAAGGAAAGGTCAGAATTAGGTTTATTTTAGTTAGGACCCCTACCAAGCTCCAAGTGTGTGTGGATGTGCCAGGTGGGTAAACAGCAGTGACTATAGCAGACGAGCGGTCCGGAGACGCTGACACCGTCCAGCCCGCTGCAGCCGCCAGCGGATGCCAGAGCGGACACAATGTCGCCTTTGACTGGGTTTGGACCACAGGAACGGGCTGTTCTGCACCGGGCAGATGTCTGCATGTGCATTCATTCATGAAAGCAGCGGCGTGTCTGTTACATTTGCGTCACGGTAGCGCTCGAAGTTGGGAGCAAAACAATAAGATTGCGTGCCGCTTTATCAACGTGTAGTGTGAGAGGGAATAGCGGTCTCCAAGTACTGTAGAGTCGTTCAAACAAAGAGCGCAAATACATTTTCTTTACAGTCAGTCTTTAAATATCACATACTCCAATAAGACATTAAAATAACATAAGGACCAAAGATTGTACTTACCTTCCGTTAGAGAAGCAGCGCCGCGTCAGCTGAGCAGCCTCCGTCTGATGCGAGCGCTGTCTTTCCCTCTCCAAGATATAAACGCGAGCTCACCAAACACCGCGAGATTTGGGGAGCTGGGCTTTCTGCAGAGTGAGCTCATGAGAGAAAATTCACTTTTCTGGGTCAAATCCTGCACAACCTCTCTTCTTCTCTGGGATGATTAATGTTGACAGTACGCCTCGCTGCAATAGGGGCCTATCTCCTCTGCTCTGCTGACTCCCTATGGAGATATGCTGAAAATAACCCGCCCTACCTACCTGCAAAACAAATGTCATGCTCCAAACAGAGACCAAAAGAATGACAGAAGAAACGTGGCTGCGGAGTGCGTGTGCGTCTGTTTATTTGTGGTGCCTGGAGCTGATGTTAGAGTATTTATGTTGTTTTTTTTCTATGAGATTAGTGGTAGTGTTGGCAACTTCCACACTGCTGATTCACTTTGCAGACACATGCAGACACCACATCATCTGCTTTCAATCAGTGTCACGAGATGCTCATAAAATTTCACCTCCAGTTTATCTAACACAAACCAATTACTAGAGGATAAAGAGCATTTGAATAATTACATGCTTTTACCTGGTGTTACACATACCTCCATGAGACTGTAATAAACATGTAGAAAAATCACAGTCTGGTTAAAGACACATGCACGCCTCATTAGTGGCATTTGTATAACAGTTTAAATCACATGCATATAGGCCCCATGCTAAGAAGCATCCCACATGTGTGTGTGCACATCACTATATCCTCTGCAGATTATGTGGTGCTCTGAAAGAGGTGAGAGCAAATCCCCTTCTGGCACATGCGTTTTCAGACTCAAGCATCTGCTCTTTGCAGAAATGATATCATTTTGGATGCTAGTTTTCTGAATCTAAATGATTATGGTTAATCAAAGTAGCCAGCTGCTTTCTTTAAACCATGTAAAAAAAAAAAATAGAAATGTGTTTAAGAAATGTTAAATGGTCTCATACCACCAGAAATCCAATGACCAATTCAGATTTGTATGTTTTAGTGTGCAAGATTCTGTAGGCATACAGAACTCATTATAGCTGTGAGCCACCAGAGGTCCCTAGACCCATAAAACTAAAGACATACACAGTAATTCAATTGTATCAGTTTATTTAAAATAGAAATATACAAAAATATGTGCTACTGTTCAGATTATGATACATTTTGAGATGTTAAAACATAAATAAATATAATTTTATAACAAGTCCTGCTCCACCCAGATGGTCTTTTTCTGTTCCTCCACTATCCTGTCTTTGATGACCTTGACCAAGTCATCCAGGCTTGTCCATGAGTCAGGCTCCAGGCTGGCGTACAGACAGGGCATGCCCTCTAGCTCCTTCTCTTTGGCCCGGCATAACCTCACAAACTCATCTTCCACCTCAATGCGCACCGGCAACTTCCTGTGAAGGCAGGAAACAGGAAGGAAGAATTACTGAGTGAACCAAACTTTCTCATACAATACGTCTCACCAACCACAACTACGTCAAGCAATTTACAAACGCAATTTAAGTGATCAAACATAGCCATAACTTTCCATTTTTCCATTTTCTACACACTCACATCATCATGGGACCAGGCTCCCATCAGACCCTGTCCTTTTTTATTAGGTCAACAGCTTGATTGAAAGTTAAAGTAAACTATTAAACAACTGAAGGTTTGGGTTTAGGTTAAGGTAAATAAATTAGCGAAACTCAGAGAAACTGGTTTAGTGAAAAGGCACAGTAGCTGGAAATACGTTCTGACTTCTGAAGAAAGGATGTTAAATATGTCTGTGGAATAATGTCAGAATTTACCTGTGACCGAAATAAATCAATCAATCAGTTAAAATGATTGAATTACTAGTAGTCTATATCAAGACTAAATTGTTCCTTCATCCTGTAGAACTGGTATAAACTACTGTAAAAAACAAATCAATGTATGAGTTTGTATTTATTTTAACCTATTACTGATCTTTAAAGCAACATGAGTACTAGTATAATCAGCATTACCTTCGAACAATAAAATATTTAACTTGAAAATTACTATAAGAATGACTGTATTCTCACATTGCTCTAAAAGGACCAACCTGAGTTTCTTGATGTTTCTTTCACAGATCTTGATGTAGATAATGATGGGGTAGATCTCTCTCCTCAGCAGGTCTTTGACACAGTTCAGCTCAGCCTCCACCAGACAGTGTTTGCCCTAAGAACAAACATCATCTTACCCCATATGTTTACTGCGCTCACGGCTGCGTTGTATTATGGATATTTGACATTTCAGAGTCAGCACCTCTCGCTCGGCTCTGCTCACCTTTGCAGCGATGGTTTCGATGTTTTCTCTCGTGATGCATTCGTACGCGCCCTGCTTCTCTGTGTAGTGAACGAAGGGCTCCACGTTTTGTTTGAGCTGAAACTCATCTTTAGTGAACGTCTCTGCAAAATAAACATAAAAAGTTTAAAAATTATTGACTCATCCTTTTTTTTAGGAAATATGCAGAAGGGCAACGGTTACATAACGCGTTTCACAATTTCGCAATTACACATTATATTAGATCATTTGGATCAAGAGCAACCAACTAGTAAATACATAAAGTTCATATTTGGCGATTCTCTAATTTGACTTTATTTAGTGGGATAATACCTGTTGTAAATATAAATGATAGTTTTACAGCAAGGAGGAAGCAATTTATAAAGAAAAGTTGAGACATATGTTAAAAATAACAGAAGTGCAGAGTTCTTTTTTAGATTTCTAATTTGATGACACTAGGTCTAAACATTTTGGACAATTTACACGAGAAGCACATTTTTTCCCACATTTTAAACATTATTTCAGCAAAAAATTTGTTTTTGGATCCATTTTTATTTCTTAAATAATCATTCCTGTGAACATTTTAGGAGTTTTGGCCCAGTCTATGACATGGTTGCTAGGTAACAGTTATGGAAGTCCTTAGGGTGATCATGATTTCCAACTAGAGAGTAAAATTTGAAACCTAAAAAAGTGCCAAACTTAATAAAAAAAAAAAATAAATTTAAATATAATGATTAGGGGTGTGCAAAAATATTTAAATATCGATATATCGTATGGTTTAACTCTTTCCCCCATGAAGACGACATTTGACGACCCTCCCTTGTTTCCTTAATGACGTCTTTTGACACCTCCGCTGTATCACTAAAGACGTGATTTGACAACCGTTACAAATGGCTCAGTTTTTCACATGTAATCAAAGCTGTGATAGGTGGGGGCCACTACAACCCATACATACTAATATATGTATGGGTTGTTCCAAGTAGGCGTGTGATGATACAATATCGATATCGTGGGCTGCTGTATCAATATATCGCCAAGAGTATTTTTTGGTATATTTCATTAAATTATTTTGTTACATTCCTACAGTTTTGTTGCTTGTTCAGAAGAAGGAAACTCATTCATGTGACACACTTTTTTAATGATTAAAATGTGTATGTTTCATATGAACTTTGCACAAGAAGTGGTTTACCAGACTTTAGTATCACAGCCATGATTTAACCATAATTTTTTATTGAACCGTATCAAATTGATGTGAAATATATTATATAGAATCGAAAGTACACTGTATCGAGATATGTATCGTGGCCTATGTATCGAGGTATGTATCGTATCGGCAACTTCTAAATGATACCCAGCCCTAAAAATGATCTTAACTGTGTCGTAGTCAAATCAGTACTCCAATCTGTCAAAGGTACTATAAGCACGTATTATATGTCCACAAGGCAAAACACAAAACTTTAAAGATGCATTCTGTAACTTTTCTGATGTGGGGTCAGCTACCTGAGTGTTTCCATATCTATTTTGCGTTTAACTGTGTGTGTTTTATTACTCAGAAATACCTACACTCACCTCTGATCTGATCTGTCACTTGGCCTTGGCGACGTCACTTACTGTCTCCATGGAGATAGATAAGTTTAATGCTTTACTGTGTAACATTCTATAAAACCGTATCATCCATGGCGAGAAGAAGTTTATAAGATGCTTCACTATTATCTGCTGTTGCCTTTAAAAACACTACACTGTTATTTTAAATGCCCTGTGACATTAAAATCCGTTCTGGTGCGAGCAAGGCCTGTTATGACATTTAACGCAACAGTTTTCATCTCTTAAAGACCATCTGAAGTGTCACTCTTCATTGTTATTATCATGTAGGCCATCTTTCTTTCACCCTCTTGAGGCTCTAAAGTTACCGCTCGCACAATACATGACCTACATCGTCAGATCGCCTCGTTCACCCTTTTTGACTTTTCCTTTCTTTTGATTCTCTTTCTATTGATGCTCTTTTGTTCTACCCACCTGGTTTACAGTTGCTAAAGTCCACTGATCCCGGTGTGGTGAGGATTTTGTTAATGACAGTTTTGGCTAACGTGATCGGCGTGAATAGGACCGGTCGCCTCCTCTGGGTTTTCTGCGGCGTGACTGGGCTGTAGGGGATGAGGTTCAAACTCCGACAGAACTCATTGTCTGGGTCAGCAGTATCTGGGGTCAGGAAGTAATGAGGTAGTGTTAATATTGAACGCCGAGAAGACAGTGGCACAGGGCAGTTTTATTATTACAGTCCTCCAGAGGATTCTTGTAATGAGAGGGATGTTGTTCTTCTCACCCTCGGGTCGGAGCATCTCAAAGCTTTGTCTGGGCAGAGTGCCACCCGAGTTTACGAGTCTGACGCGCTCGCTGCTGTTCATGCGCTTGTACTTGATATCCACCCTGCTGACAAACTGCACAGGCAAATGTTCTTTTACAACACTGTTATATGAGAGCAGACTTTTAAAAAAATAATAAGGGTCCCAAACATGCACAGTCTATATCTGTTACCAGGGATGTGACAATAACCAAAATATCATGATATCGTATCATCAGAACTCTCACAATAATCGAATTACAAGGTTTTTCACTTAAAAGTATTAAAAAAGAGGGAACACTCACTTTATTTAAGCACTTTTAAATCTTATTTCTTTGGAATATAGCAATATTTATACACACTGAAGACTGGTCAAGGTAATTAAAAAGGAAAAAAATAGCGTATATACAATTCTCTCCAACAATCTCTCCAAAATATCGCAATAATTATCGTACAGTGAGAGGCATATCGTGATAACATCGTACCGTGAGATTTGGATATTGTTACATCCCTATCGATTACGTTAAAACTGAAGTACCCGTTTTTCATAAATACGTAAAGGATAGTGCACTGGCCAACAATTGTATGCATGTATATACTAGGAATGTGCAGACTATACTAGATTTGTGAGAGCTGGCAACAAGGTCGATATATTTAAATACCCACATCCTCTAGTCAAACCTAAAAAACATGCACCAGGGGCTAGAGGAAGAAATGAGCTCTGGTGGTACAGCCTGGCACAGTGCATCTCTCCTGTTAATGTTTATGTATATTGTGCACTGTCCCTGTCTCATAAATAAACTAAATAAATAAATTTACTGTTTCAAAATTCCAAACTACCAATATTGAGATGGGGGGAAGGATTGTTTACGTTAATTAGAATTTTATCTGTAAGTAAGTAAAAATCTGTTATCAAATAGTTACAGCTTCATACTATATTCATATTTACGATAAGTTTAATCCTAAAGGTGTAACTTTTTGGTTGGAGGTTTGTCACCTGCTTGTTTCTATGGAAATGTCATTGCACTGTCTGGAAAGTTCCACAGTATGACATTAAACAGCTCTACCTTACATTTATTCAATTGGAGGTGGTTTTATAGCTCAAAAATACCCAGAAAAACAGGCTTTCTGACTGTGAGCGACGTCGCCTCTCCACAGATCTGACCTGTAACTTGGTCCGGTTTGGGCTCCATGATGATAGAACGGTTTAATGCCATACTGTGAAACATTCCAGACAAAGCAATAACATCTCAATGAAGAAAAGCATTTGACGAACCTTCTCCCAGAAAAGTTACACAATGCACTTTTAAGAAGATGACATATGCATATTCTCCAGAAAAACAGCTTGTCCTGATCAGAACATGAAATCATCAAATTGCCCTAAATAGATGAAATCTGATGAAATCTGCATTATAAACATTGTTTTCTTGGTCAAATAAACAAAACAGCCTATTTTATCATTTTAAGAGAAGATATTTTGTCTATCGTATCAAAACATATATAACTAGAAAAGCACTCAGAGAGCGCAGACCTCCGCCAAGGACTACCCCCATTTTTTATATAAATTGCGATAAAATCAGTCTTCTGGATCAGATCCGGATCAGCCTTTGGAATATGAAAGAGGATCCCATTGTCCATCCCTGGGTCAAATTTCATGGGGTTTGGTCGATAATTAACCGAGATATTGAGAAACAACATTTTTGGCCCCATTTACCACAATGTTAACTAAAATTTCAAAGTGATCCAGAATCCAGGATTTCTTCCGGATCACCCCCAAAATGAAATCAGTTCTTCCTTTTCACATTTCCAACAAAGCCTGAAAATGTCATCAAAATCGGTCCATAACTTTTTGAGTTATGTTGCTAACAGACAAACAAACAAACAAACAAACAGACAAACGCCGGCAAAAACATAACCTCTTTGGCGGAGGTAAATATCAAATTATTCTAGTGAAGATACCACATGACATCACAAGGTGGAACAGAGTGTTTTCAGTTTAAGAGAAGAACTCAGCCTAAATATTAAATCTGTGTGAAAGAAACAAACCACAACTCCAGGTATATTTGTAGTATATTACTATAGAATCCAGGTATATAGTAACTACTTAATAAATTCAGAAAGTGATAGCATAATTCAGATGTTTCATTATGTTTTTTGATCATTTGAAAGGATTTAATATGGCAAGTCTTATTGTCCAAAAGCTCATAATGTGTGTAGATTTGGCTAAAATCTTATCGAAAACTTTGAGTTTCATCAGTGGGCTGTAAATCCAGTATCCTTCTTGATAAGATGTCCAGTTACAGTGCTACAGTAGAAATAAAACAGAATAGTGATTACCTGTATTATCTGTGCAATGAAGATACTAGCTTTGGACAGGCGAGGGCTGGTTTTGTCTGAAGAGGAACCCGGCTCTTCTGCCAGAAAGTTATTCTAGATACAAGCAACACACACACGATTATTTAAAGTGAAATATGACATAAAATGACATCCTTTATTATTATGAAAGACAATCATAAGTTTCTTTACTCTTGCATTGCGATTGATTTCACCTTCCTCCTTCCCACCTCGAATGACCAACTTCTGTATCTTTATCAGGAGCAGCTGCTGAGCCCTGGAGGAAAAGAATCATTTTGTTACACATCTTAAAATCATGATTTGATTGATTTGATTTATTCATTTATGGCTTTAAACCTTTTACTACTTCTTAATGACTTTGATCACCTGAAAAATCTGAATAACTGGAAAATGAAAGATCTGAATAACTAGAAAGAGCTAACGATTCTGATTCATGGTCGTAAGTACTGGGTGCAGACTTAATATAGAAAGAGTCTTCACACCAGTACTTCCTTTTCAACGCTCTAACCCTGCAACAAAGTTAAGTGTGAAAACTTGTGAGGGGGGCTTTTTTGTAAGGATGTTCACATGTACCACAAACTGCAACCAGCATGCCTATAGTCTGCTGTCTTTTACTATATAAGTGAGTAGGTTGCATTGTCAAAGTAAAGGGCATAAGGAGAAAAGGGCAGTAAAAGGGTAGCAAAAGTACAGGACTATTTTATGGGGTCAGAATAAAAGTGCAGTGCAGTTTGTTGAGTATACCGTACATCAAAAACAGGAGATATATATATTTACAGGTTTTGGCTTTCATTTGATCTCATTTATTTAACTGACAGAATACCTGAAGGTAAAGGTTCAAAGGGAGCAGTCCTTCAAAAGAAAGAAAGGAGAGAAAAGGGACTTGCATTTATTAAGTTAGTAACTTTTTTGGATGACTTCCATGTTTCTTTTTTTTTTTTTCATTTTAGCAAAATGATCTACAGAGAGTGATGTTGATGTATTTTCTTGCTCCATAGACCAAGAAAATATGTCTGTGGATATATCAAAAACAAAAAATAAATCTAAACTTGTCAAATCTACTCAAAACAGTACTCATTTCGAAAGCAATTTTAACTTGTAGCAAATGGACTTTTATGAACTTTTAATCATGGTATAACAATGATTCCTCAAAAATATTCACGCCCATTTTTTATTTTACTTTAAAAAAAAAAAAATTTAAACTAAAAAAAACTGACTCAGGGTCAAACATGTAGGGTATAAATGCTGCATAGCCATATTCTATTCTGGTCTGTGGTTTTAAAGAGAAAGTCATGCACCAGTTTTTATTATTAACCCTTTTATATTAATACTGTGAAAATGTAAAATAATGCTGTATGTGATCTATATTTATGTTATTTATATATTTATATTAGTTTTATTTAAGTGTAGGTATTCCGTTTTTTTTATGATATCATTAACTATTTGTACTACATTTCACTGAGCATATATACATTTTTTTACCTGGAGTTACATGGAATAGTTCCTCGTTCGTGCAGGTCCTGGCCGGTGTAGGGGTCCACCCGCGTACACAGCCACTCACAGCGCCCCTGGTGGCGGGTGTCCAAAACGTGCACCACCTCATCACATCTCACATTCAGGGAGCAGTTCTCTTGGTTGAAAATGTTGAGATTGGCCCGAATGTAGAATGAATCTCCAGAAGCCAATGTGCCTTCAGCTATGTCTCGTTGAAGACGCCGATAAGCTGGAGGGAAGCGTAAACGTAAATAAATTAATGACATAATAAATAAATGTATACTTCATGAGTGATTTCATTTGCGTACCGTCATAATTGGATCTGTAGTGTAGTTTGACAGGGCCAGAGCAGTGCTGTAGTGTCCAGTGAGCTTCCTCCTGAGTGCTGGTGTCCAACGACACGCTTTGGTTCTCTCCTCGTATAACGCCTTCCAACTATTCAGCCAACCATCAAGAATACAATGTTTTTAGTTCACTTTTTGTGTGTGTGCAGATGAAAAGCTGGCAAAACACAACAAATCAAACCATAAAATCATAAGTTGGGTTGGGCAGGGCAACATTTTGTGATGTAATGTTCATTTTAACCGTGAAGTGCAGATGTTTCCGTCTGGTTTGTGGTTAATATATCCATTATTACTTAATCTATCCAGATGAAACAAAAACTAGCATCAATTCCAATGTCTACTTTATAAGAAAAAAATTACTGAATTTATCATTTTAATTTTAAAAAGATGTGTAAATGTGAACCATGAACCAAATCCTATTATTAAAATGGAATCACAATCACAATGCTTGTCAGAATTACCGTAGCTATTTTTCCCAAATTGTCCTATCTGCATTATTCAAACACAAAGGCATGTTTTCCTTCTTGCTCTCACTTTCTGGTTAAAAAGACAAATTTGTGGATTCAGTCTTTTGACCAAAAATTAAAACCTTCAGCATTTTCAAAAAACAGCAAATTGCTTACAGAGTTGTATAGGCCCCTGCCAACTATCCATCTAAAATAATGACATAAAATTGTAAAATATCTTGAGCACAATCAATTATTTGACACTAACTCACCATTAGAAGGTTGTGTCCCTCTCTTAGCCCCGCCTGCTCAGCCCCAGACCCTGTCTGGATAGAGGAGATGAAGATCCCACTGTTATTGCCACCAACTAGTGTGATGTCCCTTAGCAAGTTGTCTCCGAGCAGCGACACCTCCTGCACTGGTTTTAAAGTTGGGCTGATTCTGGTAATTGAGGACAGAGATGGACGAAATGGTCTACACACACACACACACACAAAAAAGAAAATCAACAAACCAAATTACAAACAAATCCATATATAAAAATACATCAATGAATATGTTTAATTTTAGTTACCTTTCTAGAGACAACTTCCTGAAAATATTGGTGACCTGCTCCAAGTCGTACGTGTCCATGCTTTCGGACTGATGGGAGGAGGAAGACGAGTGAACAGAAGATGGACCATGATGCCCCTCATCATCTAAAAATAATTTATAATAAGAACTATTAAGAATAAGAATATGGAATTAAATATGTACTATGTTTAAACGTTACTTACCTAAATCCATTTCCTGGTTATCACTATCAAAGTCTGAATGACTGAAAGACATGAAGAAATCAGATTTTTTTTATTATCATGTCATTAAAATATAAATTGATATAGTTGTTTGTGTGTACCTGTATCTTCGAGGATAGATGTCACTCTCCTTTTCTTTTTCCCTGCGGTAAAGTGATGCCTTGTCTGGTGGCTCAGGGTTTGTGGACAAGATGCTGTCATTTCGATATCGCAACTGACAAATTCATCGAAAAAATGTAATAAAGTTTCAATAAAACGATGTTCATATTACACATTCACACAGGTAAAGTAACGCAGGGTTTGAATGATGAGGATCTTACCATATTAGGCCTGTCCACAATAAAAGGGATGGGCTTTGGCGATGAGGAGAGGGTAGAAGCAGAGATGGGAGGAAATATTGGAGAGATTGGTACACTAGGAGACGACGGTGCAGAGGTGCTAAGGATGTTGATAGGTGTCTCCAAGAAGTCTCCATTGGCTAGCAAAATGAAAAATAAAAAGGGATTCAAATGTTACTAAGATATACATATATTTTATATTAAAACAATTATTTAATTTTTCTTCATTCAAATGTGTAACCACAGCTGCAAGGCAAAGAGAAAGAAGTGTTTTGTTCAATACCATAACCACAGTAAAATGGTAGTGGTAATGAGGAAACTTACAGGTTTATTATATAAGATTTAAGTGTTTACGAAGAATAAAGAATAGATACCTGCTGTCTGAGTAACTTCTGAATTAGAATGATGTTCTTTGCAATGAAACACCGGTGACTTGACTCTGATCTGCTGGAGAAAAATCACTTATTAAAAAAAATGAACAAACTATTTTAATCCCAACTCTAAACAGTCAGACTCAGCCCACAAGCCTATGCATTACAACACGATCAATGTGCATTCTGATAATAAAACTACTGTACATTTGATCAGGTTTGTGAAGTTGGTGTGCACAGTTTTATATCCTGCTTTTGTAAACTTATCTTATGAAAAATGGTTATACAGGAGTGGTTAAGAGGTCTGCACAGAGCTTCGTGGTTGCGTAGGCTTGTGGGCTGAGCTTTGTACAAAAGGTGTGAGGGTTTGAATTCCGGGACATAATGACACATAAAACCACTTCAGGCATGTTTTTTTTAACATTATAACATGGTAGAAAACTCAAGAAAAGTGTAATACCCCTTCTTTAGCTTTGATGTTGGGTCTGCGCTTGAACCGTTGCGTCTCAGAATTTATCTTGTCTTCTGGAGATTCGTCACTGGACCACTCTGGTTGGCCCGGGGCTGCTTTAAATTCCTCCTCTTCTGAGATGCTCTTCGGTGCAAAATCTCTTGGTAATGTCTGTGTAAAAACAACCAGCAAATTAGTATCATATCATTAGTATTAAGGAGTATGCATCATTAAAGAAGACATATTGTTTGTTTTTTTTCAGATATTTAGTATTAAACTATAATATAGGTAGGTCATTATTGTATATTTTGTTAATTGTAAACTGCAAAATTGATCCAAAATGACTTATTTAGAGAAAAGGCTACACTGACTTCCTGTTCAAAAGTGCAGAACTAAAAGAAGTTGCCTCCTCATAGGGGCCTTACACCATAGCAAGCGTCAGATTTTTATCTACCCTCTCCACACACCGCAGCCCAATGTGTCAGTGTCATATATATATATATATATATATATATGATATATATATATATATAATAAAAAGTCAAGTCCACAGTCTGACATTTAAAAAAAAAAAAAATTTTTACATAATCACAAGTAAGTACGGAGAAGTGGGATGCGATTGGGACTCGAAATTTTTTCACTCAAGCCTCTGAATCAGTGCAATATGGGATGATTCAAACATGCATGAATCAATATAAATACAAATTTGAGTGAAGTAATGATGAGTTTAACCATTATAGCATGGTTAAAAGAATCATAAAAGTCAATAAATAAATGAAGTACCATGTTTTTGTCGATCGGGTCCAGCAAATGATCCTTGCCCAGCCGGCGTAGTCGAGACTCCAGCGTGATAATCTTGGCATCTTTGTGAACAATCTCTATATGAAGTTCATCACTTTTCTCCTCCAACTCCCTAATCTGCTTCCGATATTTGTCTTTGTCAATCAGGCATTGGGAAAACTGGTGCTGGGCCTCATCTCGGGCTCGGAATGCCTGGGAACAGCATTAAAATAATTACACAAAACAGCTTACGCCAATATGATAAATATAAATACACCCATGTGTGACTTTGCACCTGGTCTCTCTCTTTCTCTACTTCCTCTAACTGTATGGTGATGGTGTCCATTCGGTTGCGGTACATTTCACAGTCTTTTTGAAGTGTGGAGCATTTGAGTTCCAGTTCCTCCTTCTCCTCCAGATACTAAGAGCGCCAGACCAAACACACCCATGTATTAACTTCACATCAGTACAAGTTATTACCTACAGTGCATTTGTTTTAAGCACCTTGTCACGCAGTTCCTCGGCCTGTCTCACTTCCTCTTGCAGGTTATAAAGGCGGTTTACCAAGTCCTGGCGATCCTCCAGAGCTTCTAACCGATCATGCTCCAAAATGTCCAGAATGGTTTTGTCAGAAGTGGGGACTATACCAGGCTGTAACACATAAGTTACACATAAATCTGGGACTCACAACCACAACGGCCCACAGAAGAGAGGAAGTCGCGCTGTCATGGTTTCGAAATTAGGTATCATAATGTTCCCTGTGTTGTTATTTTACTTGGCCTGAACAATACACAATGAAATAGTACAAGTTCATAGAGTATATTATCCTATTAATCATTTACCCATGACAAGAGATAAAATAGCGGGTGGGAGAAACTGCAGCACCAGTGAGCATTATGGTAAGAGTAAATAGCTAATTTTAAAGGTATTTAGGATTCCCATATTTTGACTTAATTTGGTGCGATAATACCTGTTAGATTTACACTGATCAAGAAGTCATTTAAACAGAAAAGTTGAAAAATCCTTTGGAAATTATAGGAAGTAGTGATTTTGCCATTTTATTTTGTAAAATCTTAAATATAATAAGCTTAACTGCGTTTTAGTAAAATGAGTAGTTCAAGCAGGCAGTTTGAGGCAATATTGGCAAAAAATAACCAGAAAAACTCTTGTATGGACCTGTACCTGTATGATGGACTGCAGCTCCTGTACTTTGATTTTGAGCATCTCGTTCTCCCTCTCCAGCTCGTGGATTTGCTCTCTCTTGGGCCTGTTCTCGATGTCGTTCTTCAGCTTTAGACTCTGCCTGCGCTCCATCTTACACTCCTCCTCCACCTTATTGAGCCTGTGCTTCAGCTGGTCGATCTAGAAGACGCACAAAATCACACAGTTGTTGATATTTACATTCACGTAATATGATATCATTCTAAAATCAATGCAGTAGTTTCAAACTCAGCTGGAGGACAGGTCGTACTTCTTTGATGGAATTAGTCATTTGTAGATTTGTTGATCACTATACCATGAACTAACTACCACCAAGAATGCATGGTTAGTGTCTACATGAAGCATAAAATGAAACAAAGTTGGATGTCTTCTCTGTCAGCATAAATGAACAATAGTTAAAATATTTTTTCACAATAGCTTCAGAAAGTTGTGCCATTATTCAGCTCCAAAGAAATGATTGTTGTCAGATGAAAAGACTTTAAACCATAACATTTATGGCAACTTTAAGACAATCCCAAACAAATAATGATAAGGTTCAACATTTGGTTTGGACATTTCTTTCAAAAACAGTGAATCCTCCACCAGTTAAATAGGCCACTGCCCTCCATCTGAAATTATGACATTATCAAATTCTAAAGCATGAACACAGCCTATAAGCAGGTGTAATATGATCTGTGCACAGCAGCACGAGCTAGCTCACTGTGTCTCAAAACAGTCACTTTTATTAAACCATAAAACAACAACCTATCAAAATGTGAATGAATTATAATAAAAAGTGTCCAATTATTCATTTTAGCACAACTTGGCAAAAAACACATAGAAATAAAATTGGACAGGAAGTAGTGATGCTAACAATGGGCCTCATTCATGAAACGTTGTTACGAACTAATTTGTACTTAAGGCCTTCTTACGAACATTTTTGGCATTCACAAAACATTTTCTTAACTGCGAATGTTCTTCTGGAAAAGCAATCCTACGAACAGTCAGGAGCACTCGTAAGAACAAAAATTCTACTGTTTTAGAATATTATTACTCTGATAATGCAATTAAAAATTCAAATTCCTCCATGATTGTTATATATATTTCTTAAATTATTTCCTCAAAACATATGACTGTGATCCAATAACATTTATGAGGCGCTTTATAGAGCATGTGGTCTATTGGGTCTAACAGACTTCATACAGGCTGCAGTGAGCCTCAGTCTGTCCCAGCCCCAGTGCCTCCATATGGGCCTCCGTTACAGCCCTGGGCCTGGTCACTGTACTGGACTCAACACCCCCCTTCATCCCCTGACCCCCGACACAAGGGAAGGAGCCAGAAGCACCTGCCTGCTAACTTCCTATTAGACTTCATATATATAAATGGACAAAACTAACCCGCTAACTTGCAAATAGGAAGTTCGTATTCATAATATAGAGCCTGGCTCTAAATTTGACTGTTATGGGTGATGTCACATTCACTTAACCCACTTCTTTATTTGGTCTGTGGCAGAGAACCTATGGAGAGTAAGGTAATGTAGTTGTACCTCAAGCTGGAGATCCCTGCTCCGCATCACAGCCATGTTCTTCTCCTCACTCAGGGCAGCGTACCTCATGGCAAGTTTATAATTTTCATCCTTTACTCTGAGTAGCTCATCACTGTAGGCATTTCTCTCCTCTTTTAACTTGTTGAACCCTGAAAGAAATCAAACAAATAATACTGCAAGTTATTACAGCACATTTTTTATTACCATAGTGGTCCAATATTAATCTATGTAGAGTAAACACTGTATTGAAATGACTAGATAGTTTCAGAATGACTTTTCGTGGGAGATGAATGGACATGTGCCTTTCTATAATGGGAAGTGTTGTGCAACTTTCAGAAACCAGAGCACATATCTTACATTAACCTCATATGTGCAACTAGCAGCCAGTTCACTATTTTCACTGTCAGAGCATATGACTATCCCAAACTACGTAACTCAGTAACACTGAGAAAATACTTACTGATACTTGGCAGCTGATGTTATCAACATTCCCTCACACAAAAAATGACAGTCACAAGCAACAACAGTATTTCAGAGTCACTCACACCTAAACATGACCGTGAACACTCGTACTGATCACAGGCTCCTGAAAATGTGTTGTTTAAATTCATTTAGCTTTTTTTTTCTAGAGTTTTCAGACAGTTTGTGTGTTTGTGTTTTTTGTGTTCATTGTGTCACCATGATAACTAATGAACAATCCACCATAGAAATACATAGAAATACATAGAAATACAAAGTAAAAGTAATGCAAAGTATCAATAAGCAATATGTGAACAAGTCACAACAATCTCAGCATTTACTGCGGAAAAACTATATACTATAACTACTATAACTGATCACCGTTTCAAGCTATACCTCTATGTATTCAGTTTCCCTACAGTCAATGCAATGGTGTTGAGATCAATCAATAAGAACATGATGAAAAGCCTTTATCAGTTGTTATCAGCTGGTGTAGCTTTGGGACCCACCTCCAAGCTATCATTACGAACTCCAACATAATCAAAATATTCATAAAATTTGAATGAATAAAGTATTTAAATAATCATTTCAAGCCATACAAATAAATCCACTGAACAAAAATTTGGCCCACAAACCATGGACACTTGATTCCCATCAGTTCAGAACCACTGATAGAGATGATGTAATGAAGTCTGGTTATACGCATTATATTTTGATTAAGATTCCCAGTACTATGAGGAATGTGTTTTTATCACTATTGTGTTGATAATGATTAGAGGGTGCGTACTCTGTTGGAAGGCCTGGAGTTCCTGGTTGGCGAGTCGTAGCTTCTTTTGCTCATCCTCCAGCGTGCAGTTCTTGCTCCGGAGCTCTGCCTGCTGTAGAGTCTTGACTTTGCTCTGCGCTTGAAGCTTCATCACCTCGTTCATTAGGAAGTGCACCAGGCCCTCGTGACCTTCCTCCACTAGAACACAGCAGCCAAGTTCATATAGGGACAAAATATTCACATTATCAAGGCTTGTTTTTAAACTGAACTCTAAAACTGGCAGAAGGTTGGATCCACAAGGAAAACTAACAATTACATAATGAGAAATAACTTGAATAGGTCCAATAAGACAGAAAATGATAAATATAATAATAACTTTTGACACACTATTCAAAATATTTAATTATGTACATGAAGATTTCAAAATCAGAATTACTTTTATTCATTCATATACAGAGGTGGGACTTGCAGGTCGTGACTTGGACTCGAGTCAGACTTGTGTCACTATTTTTAGGACTTGAGACTTGACTTGATGAAATGGACTAAGACTTGGGACTCGATTTGGACTTGAAGGTCAGTGACTTGGGACTTGACTCCGACTTGAGGCCTGTGACTTGAGAAGCACTTTTAAATTTGAATTCTTTCTATTCTGACCATATGATTCACTCTAAGTTTTTGTCAAGACATTTAAAAAGGAAAAATTTGCATTTCTACAACTCTTATATACTCTATAAATACTCATATATAAATATACTATGATTTTATAAGTGTAATTTATCTTAAAATACATATAAATTGCAAAAATCTAAGTACTTTGGTTTAAAGACTTGAAATGACTTGAAGCTCAACGCAGACGACTTGGACTTGACTTCAAAATCTCAAATCATCAAATCTTTTCTCTGGAAATCATCATATCACCGTCAATGGTCTTAGTTAGTAAAACCACACAAAGAATTTCAAAATACAAGTGACAACATTAAAAAACCACAATGCGCATTTCATTTGTGTAAGACTTTTTAAGACATTTTCAACAGATGGGAATTTCTCTGCTTGCATGTAATAATAAGGTTTAAAGATGTCTGACCTACGATGGTAGAGAAGCGGCGCGTGGGTTCTTTTCCCGTCACTAGTTTGTACAATTCGGGATAGTACAACTCAAGACTCTCCAGGAAAGCCCCATATCCACGCTCTCCTTTGGTCTGGAGAATGTCCAGCAAGCGGCCTGATGGGAAATTGAGTCAAAACATTGGCAACACTTTTAATTGCTTTAACAACATGAACAAAAGGTCCTGTACCCGATTTACCCCATTCTTCTCCTCATGTGTTTAAGCAGAATTTGTCTTTCCCAGTGTGGCATATGGTATAAGCCACTCTTGAGATCAAAATAAGTCAACTGCACTATCTGCATCTAATAATAAAATGTTTTTTATTGTCCGATAATCAGGAACTATGTGTTAACTTCACTGTGATGGCAAAATTCTGCTTTGACTTCTGCAAGTTGTGAAAAGTAAACTCATTATGGTGAATAATTAGGATTCTTGGAATGCATAAGTGTTAAGTAGTTATATTTCTGTATCATTTTTCCATGATTTAATGAGGCTAAGTAAAGTGTAGTTATTATAAAATGGCATTTAACACTTTCTATTGCACTTTCTACTGCACATACTTGTACGGTTTGCGTTGGACACCAGGCGAAGGGAGTTGAGGACTTCATCTTCATCCTGCTCGTCCAGGACCTTGCACTGGCGCAGATACGGAGTGAGTTTGGAGGGAGAAATGTTACGGCAAAGCTCATAGCGCTTGCAGTCCACTTTTTCCCACACACACTCCTCTTCAGAAACAACTGACTGACCATTCTCCATCTTAGACACGCTGAAATGCAAATATGAAAGGCGCTTTTTTTAGAAATACGCAAAATGTTCACTATAAGATTTCCTATAAGAACATTGTCAAAAAGATGCATAAAAGGGTTGATGAAAATTAATATTCTCCAGTAAAGGTAAGTTAGAAATGTTATGGTCCATTGACTTTTCATGTAATACTTGAACAAAAGACAATACAAAGACAGTATCGTCTTTGTAGTTGGAGGGGTCTTGTAACTCTCACAAAGATACTAAACACTATATAATCTGTTTGACTCCATGTTGCTGAATACACAAAAGACCTTTGTGAGCTGCTCTCTGATGATAAATTGACATTATCATGCTATCGCGGTACCATGAAAAAATATGAAATTCTACTCCCACATTTTTTTCCTCTCTTGTAAACAACACAAGAACAAGCTTTTCACTCTCCAACCTACACTCCTGCTTGTTAATATCTTTCCATACTTTCTCAGTCTCCACCTGCCAACACACACAGGTCCACATGTGATATTTGCATGGTGTTTGGCTTGTGGGAGCTTATCCATAATCATGCATTGTACCATTAAGTCAACAGTTAGGCAAATCTCCCGTATACCTGCTGTCACTAAAGCCAGCAACATTGCATAGTTTTAACAGAGAGCAAAAGGTTTCATTCTCTAGCCTCAGATTTGGATAGGAATATCTCATGACATTTGCCATTTGTGCATTCCGGGAGTATCCCATGTAGAAATCGTACACCGGGCCCAACACTGAAGCTATTATTTTGTCCAAAACTGCCAGAGTCATTGCAGATAATGAAAAGTGCACAGGCAGTCTATAGACACGCACACTCAAAACCACACACGTGTTTCCTCTTCTGTTATTTTAGAGTTCTTTACCGAGAAAGAACATCCATGCTTCCTCTTTTTCAGACCAGATGCAAGTTGTAAATGGGCTCACTTCTTCTAGCCTCTTCCTGTGGTTGTGCGATTAATCCAATATAGTGCTTTCCCCTTTTTGGAAATAGACTAGACGTGCACAAGTTATTTACGGTCACAAGATGAGCTGTTTTCATGTCACATCGTAATCATGACATAGTTAAAAATGGTCAAGACAATGAATATGCTTAGTGTTGGTGAGATTGGCTGTAATAGTCATGTAAAAATTACGCATCATTTTATTTAAATTAGGTTTATTAGGTCTATTTATTTAAATTGCTATAAAGGGTCTCTCTGTGCCAGTCTCAAGTTTAGTGAAAAGTACAGGGTAACATCAGAGAATCTAGTGAATTTCCATATTGTCAATAAATTTACTGTACAAAAGGAAGAGGGTTATTTGAGGGAAAAAGTATGATAAATTATAATGAAGACAATGTATTTTAGTCTAAGCGGTTTCCAGTTGTAACAAATTATATGATGTTCCATGTTGTATAATTGAATTTGATCAAATTTTGAACACGATTACACATTAAAGGTGTACTATGTAACTTTTTAGTGGAGCATCACCCAGATGTGTCCATTGTTTTTGCTATTCCAAGAATTTTCCACAGAATGGCATTAATCTTCTATATCAGACATGCCAAACTCAAACAAATTTGGCCCGCAATATAATTATATTTGGCCTGGGAGCTTATATCAAATATGTATTAGAGTTGGCCTGCCAGCTACAGATAGGCTATAGAGAGATTATTTATTTAAAACTGTGTTTTTTATTTTATATTTTGCTTGTTCTGGATTCAATGTTTAAGCAAAACTATTATTAAACATTTATTTAATAAGAAAACGTTACATATCTCGAAAGAAGAGAAAACATACAGATGTTGTTGAAATTTTTCAAAAAATATTTACTTTGGTCCATGACTTAGTCCCAGTTTTAAATTTTGGCCCCCTGTGAATTTGAAATTGACACCTCTGATCTATATCTTCACAGAGACAAGCAGGTCAGAGACAAACATGGCACCAGGACTTCTCTTTATGGCAAGCCTGAATAACACAATCATGTTTAATGTTTAATGGAGCATACCAGGCCAAGCAATAACATCTCCATGAAGACAAACTGCTCACAGAAAAGTTACACCTGGAGTGTTCTATATCTTATTAATTATCTTATTATCTTATTAATCCAACAGCTGTGTGATTTATTCAAGTTCTACTGAGTGGAGACAATGCCACCACATCACCAAACATATGACTCAAAATGGGCATGCTGTATTGTGACCCATATCCTCATTCTCTTTTTCACTGTAAGATAGCCGTTATTTGTGCTACATGAATAAATAGGCTAAGCCACAGACTAGACTGAGAATCCTTTCATTTGCTAAATTACAGTGTAACAACCCAACCACTAGCACGCTGAAATTATACAATCAAACGGTTGACAGTTCTGTACTACCATGACAAATGACAAATCAATGTTAATCTGCAGGAAATCAATACTGTTCCAGGTGCTATGCCCAAGTGAATTGCAGCCATGTTAAATGTGGAGTACAGAATACATTATCACATACTGTAGATCCGGTATCTATAATGAAACCAGGCTGCTAAAAAGAAACTCACTTTATGCAAACAATAGCTGCAATGTGTCAATGCTTCAGCTTTTACATTGTTATTTATTGCTGTGGTATTTATTGCATACCACTGTAAAGAGTTTTTTGCAATGTCCACTATTTCCAGTATGAAGTTGTACCTGCAGTGAATGAAAGCTTATCTTTCGTCAGTATTCAAATCTGATTATTTGCAATATTTGAGTTTCACACTGGCATAGTAAAAGTTATCAAAGAATTGTGGAAAAACAACATGTCTACACAGCACTGCCTATTGTTATCGTTGCTCGTTGAATTCCAAAACTATTTAATCTTGTCTGCCATGTGATAAGGGAGCTGTTGGGAATTGCAAAATATTGTGCAGTCCAGTCATAAGTTTCAATTCTCTTCACTTCTATTGCACCAGCTAATCAAAGAGTTTCACCCCTGCAAGAAGTATCAGAGTAATCTATTAATGAATGTTACAAAAATGTTACAAAAATACATACTTGATTTTAATACTCATCATGATAATAAATAAATAAATAAATAAATATGTGATATACTTTTCAACACAAAATAATATGAGCTGCATTAATACCTTGAGGTTTTGTAGAGGTTCAGGTATACCATTCTAAAATTATCTAGGAAAGGTCCATTCTTGTCCTATTTATGCTCAGTAGTGACAGTTTTTTCTAGTTTTAGTTTTGATTAGTATCCGGGAGCCAATTTTTTACTCTATATACTGTAGGTTCCAGTTCAGTTTTAGCTTTATAGATATTACATTCTATGAGAAGCATCATCATGCCCACTATAGTAGTGAGATAATTCTCAGCAGCATTGGGCCTAAGATAGTCAATACTTTAGTCACAGAAACTGAAGGGATTTTCAGTATCAGGTTTTATTTTTCAATACAATTTCCAGTTGTGAGGACATGTTGGTAAGGAAACATTGTCAAAATGTTCCAATACACTTTACTATGTTTACAGTTTACTATGCCTTTCATGATGTAATTGTATTGTTTTGTTTATTTTTTTTTTAATTGAGTCACTTTACCACAAAACATACCCCTAACCCTGCACTGTACTCCCCCTACCTTTTCTAGTAAGCTCTAACCACATAACTGACTCACAAGGTTCAGCTCTCTACTTTTTGCAATAAACAACAACTGAGTACCTTCAGATGACAAGGGGCTCTAGTTCCATTCGGCAGTCACTCAAATCCACCAAGGCCAGTTATAGTCCAGGGGTTGTGTGCAGGTTCACTGCAGCGGGCCAGGCAGGGGTCTGATGAGACATACGATTGGTTTAAGTTTAAGTATACAACACGCTCATAAAGACTTCATTGTTAAACTCAAAACACTATAGGAATTTGATACAATGGTTTCAGGTAAGAGGAAGTAAAATGGAAAGGTCAAACGTATATACAAAAGGGGCAACAATGTGTGCGTAAAGTTGTTCTCAAACTGTGGACCAGGTGCTCCACGTAGTACACTGGCTTCTTCTTATGACTTCAGGAGGGATTTGCAGTTTGTTTGTTTTGTCTATCTCTTTTTAAAATATCTATATCTATTTTTAATACTTGAGAAAAAACTTGGTTTACAGGTGTACAAACAATGAACATTAATTTAAAAGTAATATATAAACTACACAGGCATTTTATCAAAAACATAGAAAGTAATGTACTCTTACAGAATGAATTCCCACAGCTGTGTCTTTTGTTTTACTTTTCACTATGAGCTTCTGTCCCCTGCACCTGCTGCTGGAATCCCAAACATTTTATGTCCAGATAATACACTCTTCATGATTGAGAGTCTGCAGCACCATGCCAATGAAAATGTTGCAGAAGCCAAAAGGAACTGAAGTACAAATCCAGAAGATAAAGCCCCTTTAAATAAAATGAAAGATGTTTGGCCTGCAATTCCACTGTGACTGTCTTAAGTTATGTTTTTGTGAATTTGATTTGGTTGATGGCCATGCTTTTGTATCCGATAGTCTAATGATGTATCATATCTGAATGGGACGGTACTTTGTAATAAGATTTGTTCCCCACAATTAGCAAAAAAAGCAAGAAAAACAATTTCATGTTGTCATTATGCCAATCAAGAAACAGCCTAGAGAGAGCCTATAGGATTTAAGGTTTTAAGTGTCACTTAAAAACCCCTAAAGAAATCTAAACTCCATATAAGGACTTGTTAGGTCTAAAGTTTAGATGCAAAGTGCAATCTAAATTGCACACGTGAGATTTGTTTTCTAAAGTCCTAAAGACTTGCTGTTGTTTGCTTACCTGCAAGGTGGTTGTTACAAAGCCCGGTGTGATTTGAGATTATCCTTGTGGACTCACGTTCTCTTAAAACGATGTAACGTGATTGATATTTGATGACATCGGTCCGTTTATCCGAAAATCAAGTTGTCTCCATTTGTACAAGGGAAAGGATCTGAAGACCAAAGCCGGGCATGGGACGGCTGTGTGCGGGTATGACGGTGAGACAGAAGAGGCGGGATGGAAATAAACTGAGTGCACTGAGGTGAGGAAGAAGAACGCCCCGCTGCAGAGGCTGTGAGAGCTGTTAGTTTCAGCAGACTGATGCTTATTTCGGAAACTTTGGCTGTTGTGGGTGTCACTTTCACCAAAAAGTGACTAATTTAATTTGTAGTTTACTTGTTGCTATATTTGCTTCATGGACCTTTTGTTTTGTGAGGGAAACCGACATTTACTGGGGATTGAGCTCTTATATTTGAAGCATTTCATAATTATAGAATAAAATAAAACAAAATTAATTACAATAGCATACAATAAAATTTGCAATATACATTTATCCGTAATTGTTTTTTGAGGGTTACTCTTTAAACGAAGGCGGAACTAAAGTCTCAGTCATGTGATTTCCTTCAGGGCTTGGTTTCGAGCGCACTGTTTACATTGGTGCCGTGGAGCTCTCTGTTCGTTTTGCGTAGAGTGGAGATATTAATGTTTCTTTTTTTAACATGTATTCCCACGGATCTGAAAGTTTAATAAAACAGGCAAGGTGAGGAAAAACGTTTGAAATATTATTAGATTTACTTTGTGTGCGTATGCCTTTACTTCCTTAGCTAGGCTAGTTACTGCTACAAAATGCTAATGTTATTGTTTTGCATTTGTCATTGACAGGTTTTTGTCTTTGTGCACGTTTGATGTAGCTACTTTATTCAGTTTAAGTATTGCTCTTGTGCAGATGAGTTATCACCAATTATACACGAAACCTCGTTAGCTTGACATGTCGTGTTATTCTCAGGGATATCCAGGAGTCTGAGCTGCAGAAGTTTTACAGTAGATTGTTAAAACTGCTCCAGGGCAAGGATCTTGGACACGAGGCTGTGGACTCACTACAAAGACTGCACCTCATCCTGTCAGCCACAAAGTTCACTAGGAAGTAAGATACAATCATGGATCTCACTTGATTTTCTGCTAAACCTGTGCTGTTTTGTTGACACTTTTAATTCTTGCAAAATCTCTTTTGGCATGAGTTACCCAGTAGATAGTTGAAAGAGATTGTTGTAAATCATAGAAATGTATCAACCATTCTTAAAGCAAGTACATGCTCAAACAATCATATTTATCTTGGCACTGATAAACAACATACAATCACCGATAATTACTTAACTAAAATGTAATTATCTGTATGCAAATTATATGTGTGTTCAATGTGCTGTCAATATGTTCATGGTTTACGTTTGTTCTGTTAATAGATTGCCTCCAGAGCTTCACAAAAAGATTTTCTCACTCCTCTCCTCACCTTCGGAGCAGTTTCAGATCCTGGGCTCAGCTGTGCTTAGAGAAACACTGCCACTGTTTGATCAAGATGTGAACTGCATCCAAAATAACCCCAGTGTTTTGAATAGCCATGTCGCTGGTTTGCTGCTTGCACAGGTGAGCAGATTCATTGCATGAGTTTTGTTTGTTAATGTATCAAAGCAAAAATGTAAGTGGACTAATGTTTACTTCTTAACCTCCATAGACCAGCTGCTCAACATCCCTGTTACCTTTCTGTGCTCAGCTTGTGCGCAGTCTGGAGAGTCGACATTCAGAAGCACTGTCTCACTCACAAACACACACTTTGCCAATCCTCAATAGCATTCTGACACATCGGCCTGAATGCCTAACAGAAGGTAATGCATAAATACCAGTAAGGTACTCATAAGAGGCAATATATGGTTTCTAAAACATTAACGATGATCACCTGTTACAGATCAAGTGACAATCCTGAGTAAAAAGCTTGTGGATTGGCTACGTTATGCCAGCATCACTCAGGCAGTGTCCCCTGGTGGATTTTTCTCTGGGAGTCGGTCAAGACAGGTGGACATATCATAAATCAGTTTTTGGTTTGTTTTTTTTGGGTGGGATTTTGTTATGAAAGCTAAAATGTGCATTTATCTCTCTTAGCCTTGCCCTATTGCAGAGTTGGATGGCACCGTGTCTGGAGATTTCTTTACAGTGTTGTGCGTGGGCCAGGGATTTACTGAGGACCAGTGGATGAATGTCCACTCTTTTTCCATATTGCGCAACTGGCTTCTCACTTACCACTCTGTTTCCAATTGCAACAATACGGCAGACACAGCAGGTATGACCTGTCCAATGAAATACATCATTATACCAATTACCTGCAACCAAAAACAGATTCTAATGTCACAGCTGCAAAGACTAGCTAGTAGCCTTCACTGTTTTGCCTCAGTTATTACATGCTCTGTTTTCAACACCTCCAGCAACCAGGCTACAGTACAGCCTGCCCATATCCCACTCACACTCTCTCCCCACTGGTAAGATATAGTGTCTGTATCACCTTTGCATCTTTGTCTTTGAGAAATCTGTATAATCTAAACCAATTATTTTCTTAACTCATGGGCAGCGAATCATTATTGAACATGTTTCATGTGGCTTTAATGGAAAACTGTTCCTAATCAAATTTGTCACTGGCTGAAAACTAATTATGTGTGTTCTTCTCTTTCACTCGTGTGTTAATACTGTTTTGAGTAATATGAATAATTCACAGTGGTGTGTCATGGTGATGTGGCAAATTTGGGTTTTAGTTATGAAAAACATATGTTAATTTCTGTCTGCTTTTCTGACCAAACATGTTTTTGTGTATTCAATTTGTTAACATGATTATATTGTTCGATACAAATTATTCAGTCATTGTAATGTGACAGTTTCACCATGACTAGTAGGTTTTGGACATACAGTAGGTCCTATAATTTCTCTGTTGCAGATGATCGGTCTGTGGATGGGTCAGTTATCTCCATGGTTTCAGCCACTTCATCTTCTAGTCGCCTCCTTCCTCCAAAAGAACGTCTGAGAGAGAAATCGTTCCAGTACTGCCAACGCCTCATTGAACAGAGTGATCGCAGTGAGTCTCTTATGTTTCCAAGTTTGATCATACGACCGAAAGCCCTGTCTGTATATTCATTCATCATTTTGCTTTAAATTTATATGTTTATGTTAAGCTGTATGATTACAAACAGATGATAATATACATAAATGCTTTTTTTTTAGAGGCACAAAGAAAGGCGGACAGTGATTTGCAAAAAGCCGTAAGTCACAAAAATCTTTAAAATCTATATTGTTTCATAATAAATATTAATTTCTCAATATTTTTGTGTAGTGTCTTGTGGAAGCAGTGTGTATCCTGGATGCCCTGTGTTTAGAGGACTGTTCTCTGGTTTACCGAGTGTTCCCGTGTATAAAGGCTCTTTATGGCCGCCTCAGCTCCGACTTGTCTTACGCCAGGGTCCTGTTACCAATCGCACAGTTCTACTTCAACCATGGTCTGTTACTAAAGTACATTTTAATGACACCTGCTCTTCTCTTCTCTTCTCTTCTCAATAGTATATCATTATTGTTTGCTGTTGTGTGTTAAGGTGAAATGGCGGCAGTGGACTGTGAATGCATGTGGCAGCTAGTGTTTAGCCGTTTCCCTGCTGAACTTTTCAATGACCCCCTCCTGGCCCACGAGTTTCTGCGTTTTGTTCGACAAAATATCCAAAATATTCCAGCCAAAGTGCCACAATACACTAGATCATTCCCAAACTTGCTCAAGGTGAATAGAACACAAAAATGCAGGACTGAGTAAATTAACATGTAATATAATATAGGCTTCTTTTTTTTATTGTATTTTTAGTTCTTGGCCTGGGACAGTCCCGCAATGGTAGATGACTATGTAGATTTGTTGCCCTCTATGGTGACTACTGGAACTGCAGTGGAGCTGTTGCATACTCTGCTCGACTTACCTTGCCTTTCTGCCACACTTGTCCTACAACAAAGGTATTAAGCTCTTTACTGTCAATATTTTGCACTTAAAAATACCAAAGTTTCATTTCATATTGTGTTGCATAGGTCTGTTCTGCTGCCCATAACTGAGCCGAGCACTCGTGGTATTCAGGCCATAGATGCCTTTAGAAATCCCACTTTCCGAGGTCTTTTTCTATTCCTGCTCAGAAACGAGGCAGGCTCAGGTAATCATGGCTCATAGGTGTTGTAGGTCACCAAAATCAAACCAGTTTAATGACTTTTAAAATATTTTAGGAGATACTATTGACCGACTGAGCGTCCTGCATGAATTACTGGTTGAGTCTTCTGATTGGCCGAGAGTGGTGCAGTGTGCGCAGACTGTTCCTGTACTGTTGCATATATTTTTCAACACTGTTATTAAGGTGGGACATTAGTCATTTTATGTGACATGTAAAACTGTACTGTATATTAATAAGTGTTCTTTAGGTGGCGAATGAAAAGCTTTTAGCCCAGTTGATTCTGGTGCAGCTGGAAAGAAGCAGTCTCCTCCTCAAAGTTCCCAACTATATGAATGAAATTCATAGGTGAAGTATTTGTTGTTTTTTTCCTGGGGCTTTATACATGTTACGCATGACCTTTATGTCCTGACTTGATCTATCCATGTCTTGCAGAGTGTTCAGCTACCACCTGCTGAAACTATGTAAACTCCACCCTTCTCTTGTAGTCGACCAATCACATGAGCTGCTGGATTTTGCTGGAACCACATCCAATGTCTACAATAAAGAAGAAATTTACACTCATGTTGTAAGAGAGTTACTTATTTACAAAGCTAGATCATATTTGTGTGTGTTGGACTTATTTCAGCACATTCGATTTCAGCCCTGTAAACTAAACACTAGACTGTTTTTCAGGTGTGGGTGCTTGGAGAGTACCTCTCTCTTTCTTGTGACTCCCGCTGTTCTGTTAGACACATCACTTCTTGTTTTGAGGCGCTGGAAGCTGTGCTGTTTGAGATTACTTCCTCTGCCCCGCCTCCAGGGGGCATGTGTCCTAACCCGAGAGTCATTACAACTCTGATGAGTGCTCTTGCTAAATTAGCATCAAGGTCCCATGACCTTATCCCAAGGTTATTCTTGATATAATAAGTATTTGTCATTTGCATTATACTTGAACACTTAACTTTATTGTAACTGTGCTTCATTTTAGGGTTTCTCTGTTCTTCTCTAAATTACGGACTGTATCCAGAAGTGGCTCAGTGGCTTGGTGCTCAGATGATGATGACCTAGTTGCCATAGTAACGAGAGGGGAGGAGCTATGGTCATTGTTGAAAACCCCTGGTGTGGCACAGAGCGTTTTGACGCCACCCCCTCACGTCACAAAACCACAGTGGCACAGAGACATTAATGTGGCCATGCCTCTGCGACTGCGGACCCTCACCAGCCTCACGCAGCCTCAGTAACTCATGTATGCTGCCCTACCTCACTGTGGTGCACTTTTGTGAAGGAAATGAACTAAATCATTATTATGTCAAATTTGGTTTGAATATGAATTATGATGAAGCATAAATACAGAGAACAAATTCATCATTGTATCTATTTTTAATACAGTATTTGTATTACAATCTCAAAATTACATATTACAAAATAGATCTTTTGATTAAAAAATATCTTCTTCTGATTAAAACTCTACCTGAGTGTTTTAAATACAGAAACAGAAAAGCCCAAACTGTGATCTACACATTGCTTGAGTCATGAAACCAATGAAAATAAGAGCTTTAAGAATCTCTGTGAGACATAAAAAAAAATACACAAATGGTAGTTTTTAGTGTTGAAAAAGTGCTTATTAAAAAGTGATCCTGTCTAATAATAAAAATTTAAGACTATATTCTTCTAACACAAACAATTTATGTGGAATGATTTTATGGAATCTAAAAAAAAAACTGCCACAGGATCGTAACCAGACCAGCTCGCTTTTGTGATACCTGCTGTGTATAAAAGCACTTTTGATCAATGGAAAACAAATGTTTTTTTGCCAAGGCCAACAACATCTGTTCAGGGATCATTAAAAACATACTGACCTTGCCGAAAGTTGGTTACTTTTATGAGTAAAACGGCACTATTGCAAAGTTGAGGAATGTCTCCAATTTAAGTAATGGCACAATACTTGGAATGTGTTAGAGAAAGACTTGGCTTCAGCAGACTTCAGTGCTTGGTGCTGTCAACCTATCTTGATAGACTTTAATGCCCTGTTTGACATTCATTGTTATTTTTGCATATAGCAAAGAATGGCTGGTCCTACGGTTTGGCCCCTAATAATCAATAGCAGCTATACCATGACCACAGTCCCACAGTGACGTTTCCCTGTCACCTAGAGGTCTGCAGCAGTGGCCCCGGTACGTACAGGTACTTCCATATGGCATAGTAGTGCACACTCGCTCCAGCTGCCACAAACAAGTGCCAGATCGCGTGAGCAAACGGAACCACGCCATCACTCTTAAAGAAGACCACGCCCACCACGTAAAAGAGTCCGCCAACTGCCAGCTCGCCCACACCTGCACGCTCCACCTGGAAAACACAAAACAAGCATGCATGAATGATATCAGGTTATAGAAAACTTATCACCAGCCTGTTTTGGCAATGTTGATGTGTAAGAAAGATGGTATTAAAACTTTTTTTTTTTACAAATTTACAGATTTAATTTGATATATTAATTGGGCTTTAAGGATTTCTAGATTTACCCTTGAACAAGGAGATCTCATTCCAGTTCACTACAAAATAGGGATAGGATAAGATTCCCATTGAAGAGGACTACGCTTCCCAAGCTTTTCTGACTTCTCACGCTCTTGGTTTGTTTTTTGTACTTTTTTTTTTTACCCTCTAACCTAAGTTTCTTTTTTTGGCCCTGTAGAATAGAATAGGGGGAAATTCTACTGTAATTTACTATAGGTGTACAGCTGGTAAGACCCACACATCCTCATCAGCTGAAAAGATGTTAAACAATAGATTTGAGGAAGTTGCTATTTTATATATCATTATCCATTGTCCATATATCTGCATTAAAAAAAAAAACAACATATTTGTCTTTTTTCACACAGTAAAAGGAAGGAAATATTTATTTGCCAAAAAGGAGACACAAAGTCAAAGCTAGTGGTTGTTTACTCTTACCATAGACAGGATGACCAATGCCGGCACGGCCCCCATGGACACATAGCCCAACAGTTCGAGCAGCTTGTACCTACAGTTACCAAAAACGCAACATGAGACAACAAAACATCCATGTTCAACATCACGCGCCATTGTTTTTGCTTTAAACATTGGTCCCTGGTGTCCAGTGTCAAACCAGGACAAAGCGTGAAGAAGGGACTCGGTTACCTCTCGTGGAAGAAGAACACATACATGGACCCTACACAAGCCATGACCCAGATTAACCAGCGCATGTGGCAGGCCCAAGGTCCGAGCTCCCGCAGCATCAGCCTAAACAAACAAGACAGTCTGGCTTTGTTGTCTAAGATTTGAATAGTAATACTTTGTAGTGGAATATTGAAATAAACACTGTGACTCACCAAGGAGAGTAGGTGGCAGCTATGAAGAAATAGATGGCCATTCTGTCGCACATGTGGAAACGCTGCTCAACTTTCCTGATAAATAGAATTATTAGTTATTGTATGTATTTCATTGTATGTGCTTCTGCAATAAATTTACCAAATGTGGCTCTATCTTTGTTAACCCAGTGAAACTACAATAAAATTTTGTATTGTTTTTCAAAAAGACAGACTTTTGTTTAACATTCAAATTTAACAAAAACAAAAATAACCAAATTTCTTCCTCTTAAGACCATACTCTGCTTTATTGACAGAGGACTGGCTGGGATTGGCTTGATAAAAACAAGCATTTCATTCCCAATTAGACATGAATTAATTTTGATCTTGATTAAATATAAAATAATTGCCCCATCCTACTTAAGTCCCATCTTTTAATATTCTTGATAATGGAAAAACACTGATATCTGCAGCAGACAGACAGGTAGGTACTTTATTATCCAGAAGGAAAATCGTATTTCAGGCAGCATACAACACATAATATAATGCATAACATCAATTTATATAATTTTATCAACATTGAATAGCCGTATGATGTGTAAGTCTTGAATTTCAAAGACAGAGTCTATATTTTGTGAAAACAACTTTTCAGATTAGTCACCTCTCAACCTTGAATTTTCCATACTGGCATTTGTTGTGTCTTTCTGAGGACAGTCATGTAGGCCATAATCCTCTGTACAACAACACAGGATCAGCTCTTATGTGAACATTATACAGTCTAGTCACCTCATGTAGTGTAGTATGAGGAACCACCATGTAACATCTGTTGTTTGCATCATAGCCTTCTGGCATCATTATAATTAACCTAACAGGGTGTCTATGTTGTGATAGACATCTGGTGTGGATCACGTACGCACCGGAGATGGCCGATTTTCCAAGCAGCAGTGTGGAAGAGTGTGGAGGTGACAAATAGACCGGTGAGGCCGCTTCCATAGAGCCAGGCAGCGACACGATGCCATTGGTCCACGGATAAGAAGTACAGCACTGACCCACCAACCAGACTGGGGAGGATCCAGAACTATGAAAACAGTGATAAAGAATATAAATATATAGAGCAATTTAGCTTTACATTAGATTGCACAAATTAAAAGAGCCTTTCAAAGATATTAGTATAGAATTCAACACGTTCAATACATGTGTAATAAACGTGTAATAAATGATAACATGAACATGAATTTGAATGTGACTCTTTCTTGTGTTGTGATTTTAAAACAAACTGGCTTGATTAAAGAATTCTGATGAAATTGAAAAAAGACAATTATTAGGCTCTTTTCTTCTCATCTGTAACTCTGACACATTGCATTGTACACGTTAATATTCATTTTTGGTAAAAACAGTTCACACTTCATAAAATTTTCATAATTGCTGGCCAGTTTTAGACAGTGTACATGGAAAATTGCATGGATAGTTTTTGTTCTTCATTGCATCTTAGTTCATCTCAGGGGAGGATGTTATGCCTCTCAAAGATTAACAGTCATTATGTGCATGTTTTCTCAATGATTTCTTTCATGTTTATGTGTGTTTGATTCACTCTCCACGCTCTCACAGCCAAAGGCCTCCAGGGATTACAGCAGATTAGAGAATGCTACAGGCTGAATCACAGATTATCAAGTGCATTCAAAAGCCCACCTCCTCACAATCCTCACTGCCATTCCATCGGAGAGAGTCCTAAGTATTCCTTAAGGCGGTCTTGTGTGTACTTACTCCATGCGTCGCACAGTTGGCTGCGTGTTCGTATTCGGTGGGCTGGTATCTTTTACTGGGTGGTACTCTGCAGTTCATAAATCTAGACATGAAAAGAGAAAGAAGTTTAAGGGGGGTATGTAAAGACCAAATGCTGTTTCAGTGGTTAATAAGTAACCGTGTGTTTACGGTTGAGAGAGAACAAGTTAAAACATCAGGGGGTAGGCTCACCAAACAACTAAAATCCATTAAAAAAAACTCTATGTATCTACTGTTATCATGTGGATTAACAATTTAAAACAAATATCCTATGTTTTGAATGGGAAAAAGTGCATATAACAGGATGCCCAGAATAGAAAGACCCCAAAGCTTTTCATACAAAATACTCAAATATAAGATCATAAATTATCTGTGCACTTAACTACCTTGCCTTTTACAGATCAACTTGTGTGCATTTTATTATCATCATTGTTTTTAAAATGTATAGAAAGTTTGTCATTTTGATAATATAATGTTAATGACACTTAAATACATTTTAATTTGAGCTGTGCATATGTAATTGCACTAGTATACTTCTGTTAATTCATGTACCTTAATATTCCCCTTTTATTTTACACTGTGTACATGATGACTGACTGATTTTTCGGTGTAACCACGGTTACTGACTAACCATTAACCGCATTTGCATTTTGGCTGCCGTTTACTTGGGCAGCCTTACTCCATTCATAGTTAGAGCACACGTTGGTTTTAATCAGCAGTAAATCTCAGCTTACAGAGGGGAAAAAACACATCTGGAGCTGTTACGAAATCACGTTTCACACGTCAAGACGCACACGAGTACTCCAAAAGCAGTGGTGTTCTGGGCCACAGGTGTTTCTGTTGGTCAGCTGTGTTATTTGATTATGTATAACGGTCTATGCCCCGAATAAACACGCGCAACTGGATTCATCTGGAACATTCTACAGACACGAGATTGTAGTCAAAGCAATAAGATAATAAAATTTAAAAAATATACAAGGAATACAATTATGACTATTTGAAGTGTAGAACAAATGGAATATGTCAGAATTTCTGAATGAAAATCTGATGTCATTAGATTTCTTCTCGGAAAGGTGGGTGAAGTAGTAGTAGTAGTAGTGTAGTAGTAGTAGTAGTGATAGTAGTAGTAGTAGTAGTAGTAGTAATGAGGATTGAATTGTATTTTTGAGTTTGTATGTGGATGCAACTGAACCACTACCATCTTCTCAGTTGTAAATTTAAAAGGAAATCCTTAAATGACCCACTGCCGAAGGGCTGGTCAAAGTAAAATGCAATAAGATGACAATATAGGCTTTGAAACCCAAATTAAATCATTTTGCATGACCTTCTTTTTTATGTCCAGCTCTCTTGTCTGTTTCTGTATTGTGGCTCCATCAATGGCCCTGAATGCCACACTGCGAGTCCCTCTAATCAGTTATGACAGAGCGGTGTGAGTGCATGTTTGTTGTGCATGTGTGTAATGATGTGAAAGGAAAAGGGGAGGGGGTGGGGTGTAGCAGCGGAGGGAGGATGTGATCAGAGGGGACATTGTCATCATGAGTCTTGCACTATCCCTGCTCAGGCCACAGAGTAAACCTGTACACGTGAATCCCGAGCTGGGGTAGAGGTGGGGTGCAAGGGTATTTTAGTGCGAGGGCCTGTTAGTGCACATTATACACAATAGGATCAATAGCTTTTAAGTAGATCTGCAGAACTATGGGTACATTTGTGTAACAGTCAAAGACTGTTTTGGAGATCAGTGCTCATTTTATTTTTAGAGATCTACTTATCCTGCCATGGGACCAGGTTTTGCATAATGATTACCATGTGCACAGGGTTTTTTTTATTTTATTATTATTATTTTTTTTTTACTATAGATACTGTCGTGAGTATATTCAAATGCAGTATAACTTTCCAAATATTTTGTCTTTGATAAAATAAGATGAATTTCATTGTCCCAACAGTGAAAATGTGTCTTAAGCGTGAAATGCATAAACATCAAATAGACAAATACAATGTATAAGACAGAATTTGAAAAATAAATAACACTTTGCTTGATTATATGAGGAATTCTGTGAGAGAATTTTACACAAACATGGTGGGCTGCAGGAGGTGAACCTGCTAATGTCCCCTGAATCACCAACAGTGTAGTGTCAACCCATCAAAAATATGATTAAAGTAATATATTCCAGTCTACTGTTAATAATGACTTTTGCATAAAATACACATGCATGGCAATATATGTAAAAAATAATAATAAAAAACACAATATCGAGTGTTTTTGTTTGGTTTTGTTGTTTCAAATGAGCAATGTATTTTCTTAAAGAAGAAAAAGTGTAGACTACTTGATCATGCTTTGTTGAATCGAGTCGCAAGTGATGATCAAAGCAAAATAAAATAAAGGCTCGCTAATAGAGGTACATTAATGTCTTATCATATGCTTCTTGCTCTAAGTGATTTCTTGTGTATCACTTTCTGATCTTCAAAATGATGCAGCCAAACTAACCAAGTATGTTCGGTTTGGAATTGGATTATTTTCGAGTAAACTAACTGATGTTACATTAGCCGAGAATAGTGATGAGATGCGTGCGTTTATCTGTATATTTAAACTTTTTTTTTTTAATAAATGTGTGCGCTCCAAGCAATATAATAAAAGTATCCACGTGCGCCATTACGCCAGAACGCACCAAATTGATCCAATTGGTGGCCAACCGCATGGTTATACCACGGCGATAAGTTTACCTTCCAAATTTGGTCTTCTTAAAGTCCATCTCGTCTTGTGTGCGCGCTCTATCTGTGGACTGCACACCAGACAGCGACGTCTCCTCCTACGGATTCCCCATTCCGGATATCCCACCGACGCACGTCCAAACACATAAGTCCAGCCGCTGCACTGAGCCGGAGAATGCAGTGGCAAAAGCTTATTTCATGTGAGGAGAGAAGTAAAAGTGTTGTTTTTTGGTGCGCTGCTAACTGTTGACACTTTTGTCCAGACTCTGAGATGTGTTTGCAGGATGTTCCACGGGACTGGGTTTGTAACCCCTCCTCTGCCCCCTCCCTCTCCCCGCTAATGGCTCATGATAAGGGAGCAACAAACAGCAGCCCCTCCCCACCACACACGACCACTGCTGCTGAATTTACTACTGTCCCTCCATGCACTTTTACCACGGATCATGGATTTAAAAAAAATGTTCGGAGACAGATCCAAGTGCAACTTGGATGAGGCAGATGTGTGCGCCTCAACTTTAAGGCGCACTTGACTTTTGTCCCTAAATCCACTTTCCTGCCCTGGTGGATACGAATAAATAAACATGATCCAGTTATGCAGCAGCATGCAAAAACATGCTTACGCACCTTAAAACATGTTTCTCTTTCTAACCAAGCTTTTAAACTGCACCAGAGCGTGGGCTACCCTGGAACACATCCATTAAGCAAAAACAAGAAGATATGATGAATTGACAAGGAATGATTTTTGACCTGATGTTTTAACAAAAAGCTGTTTACAGACTTAGATAAGTTTAAAACACAGAGACTATATCTTGGTCTCTTGTAAATAATATGTAATCCTTATTCTGTATGTAGCACACATAATCACTAACTGTTAATAAGGATATCTCAGTAGCAGATGGCATTAGACAGCCATCTGCTGTCTAATGTCTAAAATACTAAGTATGTAGGTATGTAATATACCTAGTGTTTTAAATTATACTTTTATAAACCTATTCCGATTTGTGTCAAAGTCATTGCCCATAGTTCCAGGCTGTAAATTGTTATCAGAGCAAAAAACCCAAATCATGTTCATGTTGGACTGTATAAAAGAGTATTAATTTAGACCTAATATTTTATATAACATTCCAGATGAGCAGAACCAATATAACTAAAAATTATTTAGAGATCACAGGTTTCTGCAGCTTCTTTTCAATTGTCGTTTTCATGAAATGACGACAGAGGGCGTATGTGAATCAAACTTGCTGGTTACCACTTTAAGGAATATATTTCAAAAAGACAAACATTGCTCGTATTTCAAATATATAGATCTAAATGTGTAATTTGATTGGTTTCCATATTCGGTCTGTCAGAAATTTGTTGTAGTTTGAGTGAAGTTAAATGGAGTCCTGTCTCTTTAAAAAATGTCGCAGGTCCACGTTAGCGCATGCGCAGTAGGAGAGTGCAACAGCCTCAGTGAAAAACAACAACAACACGAACACTACAGCGGGGCTGGAGAGAGATGGCCCCGTGAACAAGCGCACGTCTCAGGCCCATATCACTGTACTAGTAAAACTCCCTGCTGCTACTTCCATCGGAGCTGTATATGTCGATGGTGCCGAGCCCATGAACTTGGCCAGTCTAAGCGGGGAGGCCGGCGGAAGCCAGCTCCTCTTCGCCAACTTTAACCAAGACAACACGTAAGTCAGGGCCGGGGAGAGGGTCTGGATCCACTGGCCTGTGCTGTCAGGCTAGCAGCGTTAGCTCCCTCTCTGAACACCTTGTCCTTAGACAACTTCCACAATGAAGAAACAAGCAATTTCGGCAATTGATCTAAACTCCTGTTAGAAAAAATATGAATTCCAGCTATTTCATCCAATCACCCTAATTTATTTAATTACTTAGATTAGCTGATAGCATAGCCTACAGCTAATATTCAGCCGTGGAACTCGATGTGAAATCACGTCGATTTGGGTTACGAGTCAAATATTGAGAAATATTTATTTGTCAGCAGTTGCACTGAATACAAAATCACCCGACTACGAACGGACAGGGCTTGGCTTTTTCTGCATTTGTTGAAATAGCCTGTGATGGGTAATAACTTTGTAATCTTTATCACTGTGACGTTTGGGAGGGGAAGTCCTATTTTTCTACCCCAGCTACAAAGGCCTTGCCTTATATCTCTTAGTATTGCGACAATAGTGACTCGTATCACGTTTGATTGTCTCTTCTTGTCTGGGAAATGATGACTAATTGTATTGTTTCTATTGTTTCCAGATCCTTGGCTGTTGGTACAAAATCTGGTTACAAGTTTTTCTCCCTGTCTTCAGTGGACAAATTGGAGCAAATATATGAATGTAGTAAGTGTTTTTTTGTTTGTTTGTTTGTTTGTTTGTTTTTTTGTTTTGTTTTTAGCCGTCATAGTTAAACTAGGGTGTGTGTGTTGAGTAATTGTGTTTAACGCAATCTGACTTTGCATTGAGTGACTACCATTAGAGTAAAGCTTGTTCTTTTTAATAATTCATAAAGCTTCCAAATGGATATTGGAATAGTCTTATATTGTAGTGGTAGAGCAGTATGCCTGTCTGGGTTGTCATTCTGTTCATTCTTTGTGACTTATGTGCTTCCTGCAGCGGACACAGAGGATGTGTGCATTGTGGAGCGCCTGTTTTCCAGTAGCCTGGTGGCTATTGTCAGTCTCAAAGCTCCCAGGAAGCTCAAAGTCTGTCACTTTAAGAAGGGAACTGAGATATGCAACTACTCATATTCCAACACCATTTTGGCAGTCAAACTCAACAGACAGGTAGATAAGAGAAATGTGTTTGACCTATAGAAATCACCTACAGAAAAGAAAAACATTTGTTGTGTACATCTGTTAATGTCCTACATATTATTACATGCAGAGGCTTATAGTTTGTCTTGAAGAGTCACTTTACATCCACAACATCCGTGATATGAAAGTTCTGCACACTATCAGAGAAACTCCCCCTAATCCTTCAGGTGAGTGGAAGTAATAGAAGTAGCATGCTATGATTAACAAAAGCTAAATATGACAAAAAATCAGTAGACTCACTTGGTATGTCTGTATTCTGTCTTACATTTGTTTTATGTTTATTACATTTTTTACAGGATTGTGTGCTCTTTCCATCAGCAATGATAACTGTTACTTGGCGTATCCAGGTAGTGCTACAATAGGTGAAGTTCAAGTGTTTGACACGGTCAACCTGGTGAGTGCAAAAGTGGTCAACTGTGTCTTTGTCTTTCACTTTTGCACAGAGTTGGTTCATGTTGTTTTCTGTTTGTCTTGTCAGCGAGCAGCCAATATGATTCCTGCTCATGACAGTCCATTAGCTGCTTTGGCTTTTGATGCCAGTGGAACCAAACTTGCAACAGCATCAGAAAAGGTAGTCTTTTTAAACATTCTCTTATTCACTTTTATTCTATACTAATTTTCTTTCTGTGTTTTGTTGTTAGGGCACAGTTATACGTGTTTTTTCAATCCCTGAGGGGCAGAAGCTTTTCGAATTCAGAAGAGGGGTCAAAAGGTAAACAATTCTGTAATCACAGAATCAGTCTGGCAGTTATTATTACTAATATTGAAGTTCATAGACCATGTACTAATGCAATTGTCTTGTGCCTCAGGTGTGTGAGCATCTGTTCACTGGCATTTAGTATGGAAGGCTTGTACTTATCAGCTTCCAGCAACACAGAGACGGTCCACATTTTCAAGCTAGAGACACAAAAAGAAAAATATGTGTATGCATAATTTCTTTAACGTTATGTCGCTCAACACTGTGAGACAGAGGTTGTTCAATGGAAATGACCTTTGCTCTGTGGATCTTGTCAGGCCTACGGAGGAACCCGCAACGTGGGGAGGATACCTTGGCAAAATGTTGATGGCGTCCACAACCTACCTGCCTTCTCAGGTTACAGAGATGTTCACCCAGGGACGGGCCTTTGCCACTGTGCGCCTGCCTTTCTGCGGACACAAAAATATCTGCGCCTTAGCTGTGTGAGTCTATGAATTTTATTTTTTGTTACAAAATGAAAAGAGTAAAAGAAAGTAAACAACAAGTACAACCTTTTATTATTTTTCCAAAAGAGCATTATAATAGTTAATTGACTTTTCATACTGGATACTAGGGGTGGGACACAATTTCCATAAGATGAGAGATTTGTTCCATGAGAACAAGACATGACCAATTTTTTACATTTATTTATAATACATTTATTGTGTGGTTCAGCCTACAATTTTGGCCTCACCATTTTTATATTTACTTTATTTAATATTTTGCTGTCATTGCTATCATTACTGGTTTTAGGAACTACAGTTTCTCAAGAGGGATAACTTGCCACCTTTTAAGCATTTTTTTTGTCCAAAATGTAAATAAGGGGGAAAAAATCTCATGATCTCTCTCTCTCATGATTTTGCCACATGCCTATTGGACGCGTACAAATAATCTATGTTGATTATTTTATGGTAATAATCTGTACATGGATCTGGGCTGATTTTACATTTCTTAACCTTTCTTGTTTCAAATCAGGATTCAGAAGATTCCGAGATTGCTTGTGGCAGCAGCAGATGGATATTTGTATCTCTACAATCTAGACCCCCAAGAGGGAGGAGAGTGTACACTAATGAAGCAGCACAGGTAACACATCTAAAATTTAAAACTTCTCATTATTACGGTTTTACTTGTTACCTTCTGCCAAATCTTAACAATTACTTGTTGTTCTCAGGTTAGATGGCAGTGCTGAGCCATCTAATGAGATCCTTGAACAGGGGTCACATGACCGCCCACTTGTGGCCCAAACCTACAGTGCAGCAGTCACAAGAGGTAACAATGGGCCTCATTCATGAAATGTTCTTATGAACAAATTTGTACTTAAGGCCTTCTTACAAACAGTTTTGGCATTTACAAAACTTTTTATTAACTGAAAATGTTCTTCTGGACAGTAAGTCTCGTAAGAACAAAAATTTTACTGTTTTACAATATTATTACCCTGACAATAATGCAACAAAAAATTCTTATTCCTCCATGATTGTAAGTTATATATTTTCTTAAATTATTTCCTAAAAACATATTACTATGTGATCCAATAACATTTATGAGGCGTTTTATGGAGCATGTGGATTTGGTCTGTTGGTACAGATTTTGTACAGGCTACAGTGAGCCTCAGTTTGTTCCAGCTCCAATGCTCTCCATAGGGGCTACTATGACAGCCCTGGATATAGTCCGCGCTGGAATCAATACCCCCGATACCCCATGATACCCTATGACCAGAGCGCACTCTTATGCACCCCTAC